GTTCTTTTGTTTAATAAAAATTATTGTCCCAGGTATAGGGTAGTCATATGGACAATGTATAAAAGTAGGACAATTGCTCATTTCTTTACATATTACATATAAAATTTGAATAAAAATTTTTCCTTTTTGTCTTTTACAAAGATGATGCCAGTCACTATACCAATTAAAAATCTGATGTGTCCAACACATGACTTTCCTATCTAGTTATTTTAGGCTTTTTCCGGTTATTTTGTACAACCTATTGCAGCATCTCTATAAATGTTTAGAGGATAAACTAAATATGTACATTGTCCACATACATCTACCTCGAAACATTTTTCTATAGATATTCATTGAAATCAAAAATACTGAAAAATTTAAATTTCCTACAACTTTTTCATTGCGGTCCATTTTAGAAAAATCATGTATAAACAAAAATTATAGAGATCGATATCGCAAACAACTTTTAGTTCAACAATTTTCATAAAAATCAGAATTTTGCACATTTTGTCAAATTTCTCGAATACGGACCATTTCAGGAAATTTTGACATAAAGCAGAAATTATAGATAATATTATTAGAAGTAACTTTTATTTGAACAATTTTCTTCAAATTTCAAAATTTACACATTTTCTCAAATATCTCGAATACGGTCCATTTTAGAGAAATTATGTATAGGATAAAAATTATAGAGAATTATATTACAAATAACTTTTATTTGAACAATTTTTCAAAAAAATATTTTTTTACATTTTGTTAAATTTCTCGAATACGGACCATTTTAGGAAAATTTTGTATGGAACAAAAATTATAGATAATAATATAAGAAGTAACTTTTATTTGAAGAATTTTCTTCCCCAAACGTAAATAACAGATATATTCCATAAAATATAAAAATTACCACCCATAAAGTACCCCCCAGATGTTCCGACTCTGCTCAAAATCGGTTCATTGGACGCTGGAACAAAGCTTAAGTTTAAAATTTGGTGTTTTTCTGTGTATCGGTTCATGAATTATGGGACACATAGACACACACACACAGACATCATCGCGAAAATAGTCAAAACAGATTCAGGGGACCTCAAAACTTAAAAATCCGTCAAAAACTCGAGGTCGAAAAAAATCATGATTCCTATACTTTCCTTATACAGATAGGAAAGTAAAAAGGGATTATTACTAATAAAACAACAAAAAATAATCGCTATGCTACTGATTATACTACATATACCGATATCGATCAGTATACCGATATCGATCAGTATACCGATATCGATCAGTATACCGATATCGATCGGTATAATATATAATATTGATCCATACTCCCGATCAACCGGTCTCAACGACGCGCGACGTTCTGACAGTAAAACCTTAGTCTAGATTTTTATGGTTGACAGGTTGCATTTTGCACTTTTTAGTACTATAAAAATCGAAAGTATTTAATAATTTTTCCTAAATTGGAAAAAGCCGGACATAAAGAAAAGCCGGCCATAAAGAAAAGCCGGCCGGACATTAACAAATTGCCAAAAAATTAGAACATGTCCAACTTTAGCTAGACGTCTGGAAATAATTTCCAGTAGGAAGGGGAAAATTCTAGAGAATTTCCCCCAAACCCTTATTCCCGAGAAAAAAGGGAATCTTGCTAGAAATAACATTCTTACAATTACGTACTATTAGGCACAATTTGTTAAATCTGACAACATCGTTAACTGTTACCCTTTTAGACATGTCATGACTTGTAGTCTGGCGTCTGGCTGACTCTATTTGTTCGTTGCCAGAACGGTTTTAGTTCTGCACTCTTTTCAGACAGCATTTTAATCATTCGAAATTATGTCGAGCAATGCACAATCTGAGTGCGAACTAGTTCGCCACTGGGGAGGTGTATCAATTTATCGATATTCGACTGGTTCAGTTGACATTTCTAGTTTCTAACCTAATTTAATATGTGTTTTTAACAAGGTAGCTAGTTATGCACATATTTGTAGGCTTCCACTATGAATTTTGATTTATTTTGAAATGTGAAAAGTTTTGAACCTTTATTTATTTAAGGGCCGATCTTTTCACCTCTGAGTAAAGTAACATGTAGGTTTACTTGACAGATTAACAAACAAAGGCCCTATAGTTTAATCAGCAAGTAGTTATTTTCAATTTTACTCAGATGTAAAAAGACTGGCCCTAAAAGTAATTAAAATGTCCCCTTTTACTTTCCTATCTGTATACAGATAAGGAAAGAATAGGAATCATGATTTTTTTCTACCTCGAGCTTTCGACGGATTTTTATTTTTTGTGGTTCCCTGAATCAGTTTTGACTATTTTCGCGATGATGTCTGTGTGTGTGTGTCTGTATGCTCGATAACTTATGAACGGATACAAAGAAAAACACTAGTGATGGGAATAATCGGATGATTCTAATAATCGGAATGTTAGTATTCGAATGATTTTAATATTCGGAATAATATTCCGCTTTCCGATTATTTTAATTTATATGTTCTAATATCGAGATTTGAGTTGTTTTGTTGTTTCTTGGTTTTTGTTATTCCAGTGTATATATTGTCACACGATATAAATTATAAATTTTGTATGCATTGTGTAAAATAAGTAGAATCGGTAAGTTTTTTTTTAAATATTCATTGTTAAATAGTTATTTTTTAATCCTTTTAAAAAAATTAGAAAGATTATTCGGAATGCATTGTTCAGTTTATTTTTGTTAAAATAATACAGTAGGAATAAAAATTACATCCTTAATTTCTAAATTTCTATTTTTACGACTGTACCGATTTCAATATATTTCGAATCCAAACTCAAAACAACTCGTCGTAAATCATCCGATTCGTTGTTATAAATCATCATCCGATTCATCATAAACTGGAACACAACCGATTATTTTAAGAATCGGAAAGATTCCGATTTTTTATCCGAATACTCTCATCACTAAAAAACAACAAATCTTAAACTTAAGCGTTATTCCTGCCTGCAGTGAACAGATTAGATTTTGGGCAGAGTCGGAACATATGTTGGGGTACTTTATAGGTGATCATTTTTATATTTTATGGAATATGGGGTCTATTCTGTAACAATTCCTTTATATTTAACGGCCTTTAAAAATAGTTTCTTCTTTACTTTTGTCATTATTTAAACGGATCTTTAAAATACATTAGAGGACTATCTTAAAGAAATCTGTTTAAGTAATGACAGAAGTAAATTAACGAATACGAACATATTTTTAAAGGGCGCCAATATTTTTAAAGGCCGTTAAATATAAAGGAATTGTTACAGAATAGACACCTATATCTGTTAATTATGTTTAGAGAAGAAAATTCTTCAAATCAAAGTAACTTATATTATTATTATCTATAATTTTTGTTCTATACAAAATTTTCCTAAAATGGTCCGTGTATTCGAGAAATTTGACAAAATGTAAAAAAATTAAATTTTTAGAAAATTGTCTAAATAAAAGTTGTGTTACAATATTTTCTATAATTCTTGTTGTATACAGAATTTCTGTAAAATGGACCGTATTTGAGATATTTAAGACAATGTGTAAATTTCGAATTTTGAAGAAAACTCAACAACGTATAAAGAGAAAAACACCAAATTTTAAATTTAACCTTTATTCTGACCTGTGGCGAACTGATTAAATTTTTGGCAGAGTCGGAACATCTGGGGAGGGGGTCGTTTGTATATTTTATGAAATATATGTTATTTACTTTTGGAGAAGAAAATTCTTCAAATAAAAGTTACTCCTATTATTATTCTGTATAAGTTTACAAATTTTACAAAATGTGCAAAATTCTGATTTTTGAGTAGATTGTTAAACTAAAAATTGTTTGCGATATCGATCTCTATAATTTTTGTTTTATACTTGATTTCTCTAAAATGAAGCGTAATGGAAAAATTGGAGGAAAAGTGTAAAATTTTAATTTTTCAGTATTTTCGTTGACCATGTATATATAAAAATGTTTAGATTTAGAAGTATGTAGAAAATGTATATATTTAGTTTATCCTCTAAACCTGTACAGAGGTGCTACAATAGGTTATACAAAATAACCGGAATAAGCCTGTAATAACTAGATAGGAAAGTCATGTGTTGGACACATTATTTTTTTTTTTTTTTTTTTTTTTTTTTTTTTTTTTTCAGAATATGTTCCCACAACTTCAGTTTATCCTAACATTTTTGTCAGATTTGTTTTCAAGATCTTATACAACTCTTCCTCATTAATATCGTCATCGTTACTAATACTGGATAATAATAAAGACAAGGGTAACTTATATAGAAAATTGAAAATAAAACCTAACCTCTAAATCGGTACTGGCTGGCACTGAAAAAAGTAGTTTCAAAAAATTTGAACTTTTACTCTGCCCTTGTGCTGAGCAATTCCAGTCAAATGCAATAATTGGTTCAGTTCTGCCAGTCGAATATATGGCACTTAAAAATGAACTAAATGCGCACCAGTGCGACCAGTCGAATGCGCTATTAGTATTATGAAATTGTAGGTGTTAGTTGTGCTAATTGTCTCTAAAATGAACGACTGAATGAAATTGTTAAAAAAAGTTATGGAGTTACTTAAAGGGACTAAAACGAGTTTTAAATGCAGTCATTGCAATTTGTGTTATACAGTGAAAAATATAACAAAAATTACCAAGCACATTTTAAATAAATGTAGTAAATGCCCTGGTAAAATTTGAAGCGCTTTAGAAAAGTTAATCTGGTAGTTTCAAAACTACTCTCCTCAAAGTCATCAGTTTAATATTCTAAGCAAATATTTTATTTGTGTTGTTTTAGTTAATTTTTGTTAGCAAATTGTTACCAAAGAAAAGATTATTTTTTTTTTATTAAAAAAAAAATTAATTTAGTTTTTGTCTTGTCTTACATATCACCAGTAAATAAGCTGAAATTCATATTTCATTCCTAGAAATTTACCCATAACTAATCCCAAGGTTTATGTTATTTAATATAATAAAAAACGACACTTTGAATGAGTCTAAGTCATCACTTATTTTTGTTTAACTACCATATTTTTTAGAATACCACACCACCACCTACCCTAGAAACATTCGCGGAACTGCTCTCACAACATCCAGATGTGTTTTACACAGGACGTACTGCATCTTCTCTATTTCGCCATTGGCAAAGTCTCAAAATGTACAACTTGCTACCAGATCAGACTGTAGGACCGCTGCCAACTTCTGGTCGGCCTATAATGACCTTTAATGATGCTGAAGAATTTGTACAAGATTCTGAGCTAACAGAACCACCTGATGAAGCATTGGATAGAGAGCTGAGATTACAACAGAGGAGAAATGTCAAGGAAATTAGACAATTGGAGAATGAGGTTTGTAGAAGAAACGAGCAAACTACCTTTTTAATAATATTATGGTTAGGAACTTTTTCATATAGAAGTAAAATAGCTTTAATTTTATAATTTAAAAAAAAGTTTTAATTTATTTTAGGTGGGAAGATGGAACGTTTTAGTTGACAGTGTTACTGGTGTCTGCCCAGGTATGTTAGATAACCAGACTTTAGCTGTCCTAAGGGGAAGAATGGTTAGGTACTTAATGAGAAGTAGGGAAATTAGTATTGGACGATCCGGGAAAGGTCATGTTGTAGATATAGATCTGGCCCTAGAAGGACCAGCACATAAGATTTCTAGAAGACAGGCTACTCTAAGGTAATAAGTTCTACTTTTTTATGGTACCTAATAAAAAGTGTTTTATTTTCTATAAGTAAAAATTTTCAAAGTGATGTTAACTGCAGAGTTTCATGAGTTGTACAATGTAACAATTCGTCGCTGGAAAGACAGATGCGTAACTTCAATTTAGCTAGTTTACAGGCGGCGCAATTGAACTTCTGGTATATAGTGCATTGCATATACATATTAGGTCATTTAATTTGCCCTATTAATTATAAAGAAGAGAGATACGCCCATTTGTCATATCATAGATATCACTTTAACAGATTTGTGATGGTCTTAATTCAAATTGGGCATGTTTCGATTAATGTCCCTTTCCATTTCCAGCAACGAATTTATAGAACTCATGCTCTTATTTTCTTATGCTCACAAATACTACATATCAATGACCTAGAAGCAATACTTAGCAAGTACAAAAACTGAAAAGAGAAATAACACGTGAGCTTAAAAAAAAATTGAAAAAAGGATTTAACGGTCAAGACAGTACAAATGCCATACATAATTGTAGTGACGTTTTGACGCAGTTGATTAATAAATGATATATTTATATAATATGCTTTTACCTCATAACCACAAAGTTTGAGAGGTGTACTTAAGTGGTGTCGGATTTGTAGTTTACTTGTAATGAAGTCAATTTTCATTATTATTATTAATTAATTCCGGGTATTAATTTCGATTTTCAATTAATTTCAACTTCGTGGATATACCCTGTATATCATCAGTTTTAATCGCTGTTCAAACCATCGTCGAGGTACTTTGCGCGCGCGTTTTAATGGTGGGATTTTCTGATGTGAAAGTGAATGGTCGATTAAACGCTAGATACGATTCCGAAATTTATTTCACGCCGCGAATTTACCGAAAGGTAAAGTTTGTTATCATTTTTTTTTTATAATTTCTTTCTTGCCCGAGTCTTTAAGCCGTGCTATTTGAAACCGATTTAATTTGATTTATTTTTAAATAACAATATTCCGTGTTGAGTTAGGATTTGGAATTTGTTTTGATGAGAAATACTTTAATTTATTCTTGTTAGAATACACCGTTCTTTATAAATTTCATTTTAGTTTATTTAAAGTTTTGACCGTTAAACAATTTAATTTTCATTCGATCGTAGATATAGTCGTATGGTTACTTTTTCCTACTACTGGAAATTTCCGCGAATAACTAATAAATTTCATTTTAGTTTATTTAAAGTTCTAACTGTTAAATAATTTATTTTTCATTTGATTGTAAATATAGTCGTATAGTTAATTTTTCCTACTACTGAAAATTTATGTGAATAAATTATAAATTTCATTTTAGTTTATTTGAAGGCTTAACCGTTAATTAATTTATTTTTCATTTAATCGTAAATATAGTCTTATAGTTAATTTTTCCTACTGCAGGAAATTTCCGTGAACAAATAATACAGTTTATTAAAAACATTATCCAATAAATAATTGATTGGAACTGTTTGGGAATTGTCTAATGTTTTGATTGGTTATATTTGTAGAATTGCGACGAGGCATTTTCTTTTGTTTTATCCTCCAAACTGCAAATTTTAAGAGAATTTAAATAGCGTCATTCCCAGTTTGAAGCGGCTCGTGATTACGATCGCTTCATCCAGAGATAAGGTGTTATCCCGGCTATTAGTTCATTCTATATCTAAAAATTCATTTGCGTTAAGTCTCCGTTATTTCAACAGAACTAAAATAGTATCATTCCCCTGTCTGAAGCGGCTCGTGATTACGATCGTCTCATTCAGAGATAATGTGCTATCTCGGTTATTAGTTTATTTTCTGTCTGAAACCCTCATTTGCGTTAGTCTCTGTTATTGTAAGTGAACTCAAATAGTATCATTCCCCTGTCTGAAGCGGCTCGTTCTTACGATCGCCTCATTCAGAGAGAGTGTGCTATCCCGGTTACTAAATTTATTTTATGTAAAACTCAGTTATTTAATTGACATTAAATAGTATCATTCCCCTGTCTGAAGCGGCTCGTGATTACGATCGTCTCATTCAGACATAATGTGCTATCTCGGTTATTAGTTTATTTTCTGTCTGAAACCCTCATTTGCGTTAGTCTCCGTTATTGTAAGTGAACTCAAATAGTATCATTCCCCTGTCTGAAGCGGCTCGTTCTTACGATCGCCTCATTCAGAGAGAGTGTGCTATCCCGGTTACTAAATTTATTTTATGTAAAACTCAGTTATTTAATTGACATTAAATAGTATCATTCCCCAGTTTGAAGCGGCTCGTGATTACGATCGCTTCACTCAGAGATAATATACTATCCCGGTTGTTAGTTGGTTTTACTTTCCAACCACTAGTGAGTAAACCTCTTATAGGGTCCCGATTTCAGCCTTGAAATTAGTATTGTCCCGAACCTGTCTCCTCGCATTCTCTACAACCGCATATGATATTTTGCTTTACTGAAGCACTCAATTACATTTGATTGTAAATACCGATTAGACAATTTAAGTTAATTTTTACTACGACCGAAATAATACTTCCGAATGAAATAGCAAATTGCATTTTTAACTCAACAACAGAATAGACAATTCAATAATAAACTTTTACTGCGACCGTGATAATTATAAGTATTGATTTCATTTTTTTTTTCTTTGCGTCTGATTGAGACTACTCGAAAGTCATTTCCGTCTGTTTTGTTTGTTTATTTTTGTTCAGGGTTTGTACATATTACCGTTAGGGTGGGCGTTGAAATACATTAATTTATTCCTTTTCGTTTGTAAATATTTTAAAACAATATATGTGTCAATGTTAACTGGCCGCATTACTGGTTGTTAATTCCTAAATTTATTTCCCCCTTATATTTCAGCTAGTGATTAATTCTGTACCAGCCCAAGCAACGATTAAAGCCCGTTACTTGTGGCCTATTGTTACCTGTGTCTAAGTGGCCTTTGACCCCTGGAATTTTTCATCTCCATCTGTAGCTACCCGAGTACTTTCGACGCCGTTTCGAGAGTTCGTGGAGTAAACCATCACCAAAAATCTGACGCTCGAGAACCGCCCGTAACCAGCGTCATTCGTAAGAAATCGTTTTCTCTGTGGCGATAAAACCCCTTACATACTAAAAGAGATGTTTTCTAATATTCAACAAAATGATGTACTGATGATGGATCACGTGACCAATAAATGGCCGACTGCTGCAATCATGATTTTCATCTGATGAAAATTATTTGAGAACGACTGACATTTGTGATTTTATAATCTTAACTGTCAAACTGTCTTTATTTAATGAAAACAAACAATTTGAAGATTTTTTGATAAGCATAAAAACTAAAGACAAGTAGAGGCAATACAATAAAAGCGTTTTCTAATATTCAACAAAATGATGTACTGATGATGGAACACCTGATTAATAAATGGCCGACTGCTGCAATCATGATTTTTATCTGATGAAAATTATTTGAGAACGACTGACATTTGTGATTTTATAATCTTAACTGTCAAACTGTCTTTATTTAAGGAAAACAAACAATTCGAAGACTTTTTGATAAGCATAAAAACTAAAGACAAGTCTTCATTTACTTGAGGTACATCTAACGCTAACAATATTATTTTAAAAGTTACCCCACTTATAGGTTGGTTTAAAAAACCCAGTGAATGAATTCATTCATATTATTAGGAATTTTAAGCAAACTTTTTCAATTTCCTTATCTGTTTAATATTAATTTATCATTGTGTCACGTGATCCATCAATGCATCAACATAATCGAGTTGATGGATTTGGTGGCAACCATCTGAGAATTAGGTTGAATTTAAGAATATGATGTATAACTCATCTAAAAAATGTTGTTGGATAAAAGAACAGTTTTGATGAAATCTAAATGGCATCGATGAATATTATTAAACGCCTATGAATACGGCCCTAAGGCTCGCTTACCAAGTGGACTGTCTCCTTTCGGTGCTAGCTGCAAATATTTTCATACGGATAATGAAATTCCAGCAACTTCTCAAAAAACGATTTATTGTGCAAAACATTGCAGGACAACTTTTAAATTTTACATATGTACACTACTTTTATTTAAAAATATCTAGCGACTTAACACTTCCTTAGGGTTCACATTTTATTTATTATTATTTGATTATCTTTGCTCAGAGAACTATGTAATATATAAAAGAAAAACTGTCATTGTGTTTCTAGTGAAACCTGTCTGACTTCTAGCGAAGTACAAACTGATCTCATGTTTTGTGCCATTCAAAGAAAGATATACATGTCTACATGCCAAAAACTCGTTGAACTCGAGAAGTTTCGCGCTGATGCAACTCAGGGAACTTGATTATTGTCACGTAGACGTTTATTTACAGATGCCCACAATGAACGCCTGCTTACCGAGCACATCACCGTCTCTCGATGTTTCAAAAATATATATGTTTTGAAACAAATGGTATTGCTTCTAGACCATATTTGTATTTTTAAAACTAATTTTTTAATATGCATTAACCACTTTATTGTAATGTATTTATTGAAAAATGCCCAATTCCCGAATATAAATAATAATTTATAATTTTAGATTGAGGAACACTGGTGAATTTTATCTTTCATCAGAAGGCAAGAGACCAATTTTTGTTGATGGTAGACCAATAACAGTAGGTAACAAAGTTCGCTTATATGATAATGCAGTCGTCGAAATTGCCTGTTTAAGATTCATTTTCTCCATCAATCAAGATTTAATAAGAGCTATTCATAATGAATCTATGAGGTACAATTTACCTCCATAATTTCTAATTGTATTTTACATGTATTTGTAGTTCTAATTTGTATTCTATTAACTGTTTTTGATTATTATGGTAAATGAATTGAATTCTTACTTGAAAATAAATGATGCTGAAATGAACTGCAAGTTTTATTTATAAAATATTTAAATCATTTATTTTTCATTGAAACATACTTTGATTTAAAATAAATATAGTCAAAAACAGTCTTCAATTAGACTTGTAGCATTGTGATTTTTGTAACCCGAAAAAAACGAATAAAATAACTTTTATTTACATAGTTAGAACAAATTATTTTAAAACATGCAGACTTAATTGCAATAAAATAAATTTCAGTTTTTTATTGTTCCCGATTCCACTAATGCTTGCCTGGCGGCATTGTTGATGTGCCGAAATCTGTCTGGGCCAAGTTGAATGCCTCCATACCTAAAAATAGTTAATTAATATTATATAGTAAATGTAATTTATTACATTAAATAAATTACCATCTTGAAATAACCACCATTACATTGTTTAGTTTTAAAGTTTGAAGTAATTCAAGAACTCTGGATGAAGCTCTGTTTTCTCCATCATCATCACAATCCTACAAAAAACAAATTCATTAAAAATTTAAATAATAGCATGAACTAAACCAAATTTATAAAATCAACAAAATTAATTTGCATCCAAATGTTTTACCTGCAGTATTATGTTATTAGGTAGTAAAATTCTATATGCAGAAATATTGTGTGTTGCTTGAGCTATTTTTCGATTTTCAAGAAGTAACTCCATAAATCCACTAAAATAAAATTTGTCGATAATCCAGGATACTATAATGAATAGTTTTAAATTAAAACAATGCAAATACTTGCTTTACATCTTCTTTATTATTAACCTCGCAAACATGTCCTTGAAATACACTTTTTCTGTCTACAATTGTAGGACCATGATGAATCTTTAAATGAGAATATTTTGTTTCACTTTTCTCATCTACATTTACACTAACTTCTTGACTAATTGAAGACAAACTATTATTTGATTTGGTATGGTCATATTTCTTAACAATGTCTTCAACAATCATTATCATTTGATAAATAAGAGGACCACCTCCTTCTGCACTAAAATATTCATATTTTTTAATTTAAACCCAGAAGATCGCTATTGAAATTTAAAATAATATGCCCTAAAATCAACTTACTTATACAGATTCTGAAATTTTTGTTCTATAGTTTTCTTTTGACTAATATTTAAATTTGGTGCTAGTAATTCATATTTCGGTAAAGAACTAGATGGATAATCGGAAGTTAGAGTTATGAATAATTTTACTTCTTTAGAAATATTAATATTGTATGTACCAGTTTCAGTATCAACATGCCATTCGTCCCCAAAAATGGATTTTAGGGCTTCTATCTCATCTGATTGTTGGGATATGTTATCCATGTTTTCTATAATATTGTGTAAAGAAACTAGTTTGGAAAAGATGTATACCATAAATACAAAAAAAAACAAATTTATTTAAATCCCATATTATTATTATTATTATTGCAAAGTGCAAAAATTACGATCTGTCAAACTGCTGACACGTGAAAACTGACATTTTAGATATGGCAACCCTGTGAGCCTGTTGTCATTGACAGGTCAATGATACATATATAGTTATATAGATTGTTCGAATCGGATAGTTTGCGAGCAGCCATATTGCCTCGCAAGTGCTCATTAATCAGAATCGATTTTGCAAAAATGTGTCTACAAACCAATATTCAGCCTTAGAATGGGGTCTATTCTGTAACTATAGTCGTTATCTGGCAACTTTCTAACCACTTGCTATCTTACCACTTTCATAGCAACTGTATATAACAACTTTGACAAAAGTAGCTATTCTCGTATTCACGATTGCTATATTAGTCTATGCTGTATCATACAGTTATGCTACTGACCAAGTCGCTATGAACAAGGTCAGTTGTTGTATTACCACTTTGAGAAAATCAGAATTCTCTAACAACTATAGTGTGGTTACAAAAGTTGATTCAGAGTTATTTGGAAGCAAGCAAATATTCTTGATGGTTAAGCGTAACAACTAGTTGCTAAGAAAGAAATATTATGGACCCTGAATAATTAATATTTTAATAGACCAAGAAATTAATGGAAGGTATATTTACTGATAGAATAATAGATATCAGAACTAAATAGATATAATATTTTCTCTAATAGTTTGATTTAGGAATGAAGTAGGATTTCAGCAAAGGTTTTATTACCCCTTGCGATCTGTATTTGTAACAATGGGCGACCCTCCATGTCACTTTGGCCTCAATAGGCTCATTGTGCATCCTTCACGGGAATTTAAGACCTGCCTCTCAGCTCTCCAAAACGTCTGGGGACCTATTTTCAAACCGTGTAAGTACTCATTTCTCTCAAGATTCTCATCAAAAATGTCATACGTCAATGTGGAAACGCTGTTTTTAAAGGCCTCGAGGATTAAAATTCTTAGGAGGATATTAATTATCTCTAAATAAACCGTGAGAAACAATCAGTGAGTTTACACTGGCCCTTAGGACCCTAAAAATACTGTTTTACGTTGACGTATGACATTTCTCTCGAGAGAAATGAATTCTCTCGACTTTGAAAATAGCATCCCTGGGGTGCTATTTTCAAAATATGGGAGCACTCATTTCTCTCAAGATTCTCATCAGAAATGTCATACGTCAATGTGGAAATGTTGTTTTTAAAGGCATCGAGGATTAAAATTCTTAGGAAGATTTTAATTCTCTCTAAATAAACCGAGAGAAACAGTCAGTGAGTTCACACTGGCCCTAAGAGCCCTAAAAATACGGTTTTACGTTGACGTATGACATTTCTCTTGAGAGAAATGAATTCTCTCGAGTTTGAAAATAGCCCCCCTGCTGGTTGATATATAACGTCACTGAAAGCTGTCTATAGGAACAACCTCTTAGAATCATCAAAAGGCCTGATTCTCTGCTTGCGATAAAATTGCACATTAAATTTTCCTGTCTTGATGAAAGTTTACAACTAAATATTTATGACTTTTTGAATTTAAAATAAGTCCACCAACAAAAATAAAAAGTTCCAAATGATAAATTGTATTTCACTTAACGTCCATGACCGAGAGATATAAACCTCACTGGTCCTGTATCTCCTGACTTGAAGGTTAAGTTGTTAAAAGCCTGATTTACACCACACATCACATAGAACTTTATAGCGACCGTAAATACTAGAATAGCTACTTTTGTCAAAGTTGTTATACGGTTGCTATAAAAATAATGCAACTTGTAAGTGTGGTGTATATCAGGCTTTTAACAACTTATAACCTTCGAGTTGGAAGTGCCGGGACGTCAAGTGAAGTGTAATTTTTCATTTGGAAATGGTTACATTTTGTTGGTGGACTGGTTTGAAATTAAAAAAGAAATACAGCAAAATGTATTATGCAATTTTATCTCAAGCAGATCTGCAGGCCTTCTGACGATCTGAGAGGTAGTCATCCCTATAGACATCTCACCTGGGTAGCTATTCTTGAATTCGGGGGACTAGAAAACCGGTTTTTCCTCTTTATCCCCAACGCACAAAATTTGTATTTTTGTCTCATTCTTCCCTCAAATTTTCTACTCCCTTAGATTCAAGAATAGATACCCTGAAAGGCAGCATCTGGAGGAAGCACAATGGGACTATTGAGGCTTAACTAATGTAAGGGGAACACACAGGCGCGGATACAAGGGGGGGGGGGTAATAGGGTAATTACCCCCCCCCCCCCCGAACTGCTCGAACAAATCCAGGAATTTAATAAATTGTAATCTAAAAACAACGAGATTTTACAAAAAAGAAAAAACAAGATGACGGTGACGAATGAAGAATAGAGAAGCACAGGATGGCGTACAGTATTTTTTGTTATTTTTTAAATAAACGAATGATTCTTTGATAAAAGTATGTGGTCTAAACACATACTTTGATTTTCTTTTACTATACGGAGAATGGTCGCACTGCGCAGCTTTCTGAGTGCCTTTTAAAAGGAAAAAGAAAACTCCGCCATTTTGAACCCTTATTACGTGTTGCCTACATCTTGGCGCAATATTTTTAATAGGTGCGTTTTAATCATCCGCTTCTGCTTCGGAATTGTCGGTTTTCTTGTTTTAATTTGACAAGTTAAAACGACTAAACCGACAATTCCAGAAGCAGAAGCGGATGATTAAAACGCACCTGATATTTTGCTTGCGGCTGTCAGTGTCAGTGCATATTATTTTTTGAGTCACAGATTATTGCTAAAGAATCAGTTAGCTCACTCGGACCAGTTGAAAGTTTCAAAATAAGATCCACTCCAGGGATACAAATTTAGGATACGCAGAAGACAGCTGTTTTATTATAGGCGTTTGTTATATATTGTATTATCCGAGTTGTGCAGTGTATAAACTGGAACATTGAGATCAAAAGTGCCGACGCAGAGTGAGCGATCTGATTCTTTAGCTATAAACTGTTGCATAGGGTTCAAAATGGCCGGGCCCTATGTTGGGCGTGTCGGACCTCTCTCTTGCGCCGTATAGTAAATAAAATCAAAGTATGTGGGTCTAAATCATTGACCTTTTCAAATCACCAGGCCTGCAGGGTTGCCATATCATAACCCATCTAAGGTCCGTATTTATAAATAAACAGAACTCAGCTGAGTCGGACTGTCAGGCTCTTACTTACTCTGAGGAGGTCAGGCTAGGATAAGTCGTCCTTGAACTAAAATCGAAGTTCCGTTATAACGTCTCTAAAGTTCCAGGTGGTTCCGGTGTTACACTAGAATTTAGAGATGAATATTAGCAAATCTGTAACGGCCAATTTCATAATCGATAGCTAAAGTGGCCTTTAATGAAAGGAGACTTTAAGCTATTTAAACTATATGGTTAAAAGATACTTTAAAATTAAAGTGTCCTTTAAATTGATTATGAAATTGGCCGTAACTGTTAAGTACATTTACAAATTAGTTACTACCCGACTCTAAATTCACGCGATATAACCGAACTTCGATTTTCGTTCAAGGACGACATACCCAAGTCCGACTCAGCTGAGTTTTGTTTATAAATACGGGCCAAACACATACTTAAATATTATAAGTATGTGGGGCCAAAGTAAAAAACACACCTTTGTGCAGTTGACAGTTCTGACTTATGACTGTGACGGGACTGTGACGTATTTTTCAAGTTTGACAGTTTGTTTGACATAAATCATAAATGCGAGTTGGTTGTTTTTATCTCCTCGATCTCCTCAGCAACTCTCCATACTCAGCACTTCTCCATACTCAGCACTTCAGCATACTCAGCACTTCAGCACACTCAGCACTTCAGCACAAATTTTAACTTTTATGGAGACTATAGTAGAGAGTATTTCAAATTATATTCCATTAATGCAAGGCTAATATTGTATGTAACTCTTTAGTAAATTGATATAAATATAATTTAAAATGGCACGACACAGGGATATTAGAAACATGGATTACTCAGAAGGTATGTGATACTAGATTTTCAACTTAAAACTATACATACATATACAAATTTATACGTTTATACATATATTTTAGATTATGATGGATACGACGATGTTTATGGACATTCTGTGGATGATGATTTTTATATATCGCCTAGTAATAGGCAGTTTCTCTATAATAGAGAACCTTCGAGAAGTTCTGAAGGAGACATAAAGGAAGAAGACGAATCTGAAGCGGAGTTGTCTGACATAGATAGAGCCAAATTGGCTTCTTGTATTGATCAAATTAAGCAAATAATAGGTTCTATTAGCATTTCAAGAAATGATCTAGTCAATATCATTATACAGCAAAAGTTTGACATACAAAAATCTATAAGTGTTATTATGGATGATTCTTTACATTCTGCGGCACCAGAAAAAGGTGATTATTTTATGTCATTGCTGTGATATATTTTTCATCAAAAAAGTACTTGAAATTTAAATAATAGAGGCAGCTAGTTGCAAGAATGATCATTAACATTTTTGAGCAAGTTTAACTGTAATTTGATGTTCATGTCACTCAGACAGATTACATTCCTAAGCTTTGTCAAAATATATCTATCCCTAGATAATATTGCAGCAAAGGCTGTAAGTCTACATTAAAAAACCAGGTAAATGAAATGAACAATTACTGTAAACCCCCTCCACAATTCTTTCAATAATATGTTATATTCTTGAACTGTTGATACTCCTATCAAACAAATCATAAATTAACTTTAGCAAAAATTAAAAATATTAATATCCTAGAACCCTCTACCCATTCAAAAACCTAACCAAATATCCAAATTCCTATAAGTACCCTAAAAAAACGCTATGGGAATGTCTGTAGGAAATTTATTCAGAATGAACCAGTCACAAAATCCAAAATGAAGGAAAACCCCCAAAATTTGACTTCAGTCATGAAGATATTTTTTAATCTGAATGTTGTTAAATTTCAATTCTTGAACAGAGGATTAAAACTATTCTATTGTAAAAATTATTATTGTGCTGAAAGACTTCAGTGTGAACAAGCAAAAATAATTGTGTTTAAACAATTTTGGTCTATTTAAATGTCTTTTCTCTGAAAGTATCTCGACCTAATATAAAAAGTAATATTCACTGAAATAATTGTCCATTTCATTTACCTATGCTAGTTTGTACTTGATTCCCAGTCTTATTAAAAAAAGTAAATATTTCTTGTAATTATACAATATGTAAATCAAGCATTATTTATGTATCTAACTAATGTTTTTTTCTTTTCATGTTGGATCTGGTTTAATTTTTTCCATGTAAGGTAAGATTACATCAAGCAAAATTATAATGTATCACAATCACATAAGTTTGACATTCATTCAAATATTAACGAAACCAAAAAGCAATTCACAATACCAAACATTTTCAATAAATCACATATAATTAATGAGAGCCCAAAATTATCAAATCCATTTATTTCAGATAATAGTGATAAGTCAAAATTTACCGTACCAAAATTGAACAGTGGAATCACTAATTATGCACCTAAATTTACCATACCTAAATTTACAATTCCAAAATTAAATGAAAACTCTCACATTGCAAGTTTAGATAGTAATAAAATCATTGACAGTATTGCTGATAAAAAACAATTTGGTAATTTATCAGACTTAGTTTCAACACATTTAAAAATTAATTCTGTAAGTCCACCAATTGATTTTAAAACACAGTTGAAATTTTTACATAAAAATAAACCTGAAACTTTAGAGATAACTCCAAAATTAGGAAAAATGAGTATATCAGAATCTAGATCTTCATGCGACATGCCTGACAAAACTGAAACCAAATTTCAGATAGACCTTTCAGTTGCTTTAAAGAACACTATTAGTGCTCCACTTATTTCAACAAAAGAAAAAGAAAATTTTCAGATACCTTTTATAGACTGTGAACCACTTGAACTAAGGCATAAAAAAGAGGCTTTAAATAAAGAGCTACTTTGCACTTTAAATATGAAAAATGTTAAAAATTTAAAACTTACGTCTGAAAAGAAAAAAAGTTTTTTTGGGCGGGTTATATGTAGAAACTACAAAAGGTACGTTAAACAAATTATGCAAGAAAAAATTAACTTGAACAATATTAAAAGATTCGATTTCAGTAGTGTGTCTCCAGACAGTAAAATTATTGGCTATTTGAAAAGGAAGTAATAAACATTATTAAAAGTGTAATTAAAAATTTGTGTAGATAAGTCAGAAGAGACATACATACCTGTTTAAATTGTTAATAGTTATTTTAGATTTTGATACATTTTGAATAAAAAAAATGTTTATTAATTTAAAAAGAAGTGTATTTTTAAACATATTTTTTATAGAAAACATTTTTGTAAACTAATATGAAAATAGTTACTTTTTGTAGAACAAAGACGTTCATACTTTATGAAATGAGACATACTTAATTTTAGTAAATAAAAAAATATATAAAACCAAGAGGTTTATTTATTTTGATAAAACTTGTTGATAGTTAAAAACTTAATCTTTAATTACTAAGTAGTCAACCAACCAGAAGTTGTGCAAACTTCAGAACTTGACACAGCAACAAAAGTGATTTCTTCAACACCAAAAACCGTCAACATAACGAAGGGCTTTGATTTGCCACAAAAAGAGTTGAAAGTCAGCATCACTCCACGGTCTCAATCACCGGCTTCTGGAAAAATAACTCCGGTCGGGAATACGATTTTCGATAATGTTGATGATGTCAAAACTCAAAGAATTACAGACAGCAAATTTGATCCACAAAAGTTGTACCAAAAAGAAAGAGGAGATGGTAAAGAGCATCTGTATATGGTTGTGATTGGACATGTTGATGCAGGAAAAAGTACTTTGATGGGGCATTTACTATGTGACTTGGGACAGGTAAGTAATAATTTTTTTACTATTTAGAGCAACTCACCTTAGTCCAACATTTTTAAAATAATTATTGGTTTTAACTTTTTTATTATTTAATATTATTTTACTGATAGACAGTTTTATTTGCCCAAGGGGCACAACTGTAGAAAGTAGAAAAACCTGTTGATTATCTTTTGCCATGGGATATGGATAAGAAGTACATTCGTTAGCTTAAGTTTTACAACTCTGTTGCAATATTAATTATGAATTTTCTAATTATATTATGTAAATTATGTATTCTTGTTGCGAACAAATGGTTAGTTTGCTAGAATTGCTTCTACGGTCGTGGAAAAAGGATATATGTACACACTTGTTGCACAATTCATGAAAACTGACTACTAATAATGAATCTTAATATATTCCACCAGATCGCGCATCTCGTTTAGCCGATAATTATTGTCAATTCTTTTCCTTTATGTAATACTACACAATATTTATTTATTTAATTTTCATTTTAAGCTAATTAAATTTATTCGTAATACACGTTTTCCTAGTAAAAATTAAAAAGTCATAAAGCATTTTTATTATTAGGTTAACCAAAAAGTATTACACAAATATGAACAAGAAAGTCGAAAATTAGGAAAACAAAGTTTCATGTATGCTTGGGTCTTAGATGAAACAGGTGAAGAAAGAAATAGAGGTATCACGATGGATGTAGGACGTTTTCAATTCGAAACGCCCACCAAAGCTGTAAGTTTTAAAATTTTATTGGATAACTATTTTTAATTTTGTTACATACAAATCTAAATTTTACATTACATATATGCCGCGTTAGAGAATCCACATCGGATGCATTTTTTACATCTCGAGCGTTTTTTTTATCCACATCGGACACATCTGTCCCATTACATTTTTACGTATAATGAATCACGTGATCAAGGATTTACTACATCTCAGATGCATCCGATGTGGATTCTCAAACGCGGCAAATAGTTTAGTAAATAATATGAGTATATTGGGGGTGGGTTGGCTCAGTGGTTAGAGTCATGACTCTGAGATCGGAAGGTCTCAGGATCGAATCCCACCGGTGGCAGGAATTTTTATTTAATTAAAAAATTAAATATTAATTCTAATGCATAGGTAGGATTCCCCACTCGACCATTCACTGTTGGGTTCTAATTAACAGTGCTGTTCCTAAAGTGGCGCTGGGAAACAGTAACAAAGCCTACACAGAACACGAGGCTAATGGCCGTGGTAGTCGACGCCGATGACACCAAATTAAAAAAAAAAAAAAAAAAAAAAAAAGTATAATTTAAAAGTGTTTTTAATACATTGAAAATACTTGAAAAACAACTGCAGTGTAAGTAATAATTATTAAATTTAAAAATGGTTGTCCTCTTAAATAGTCCAAAATAAACTTAAACACATTCCCTATATGTCTCCCACAATATTTTATTTCCCTACAGAATTAATTCAAGTAGAAGGCAAGTAGCAGTATAAACATTAAAAAAAAACATTAAATCTAATTATCTACTTTAAAAATATATTAAATAAAATGAATTAAAGCTAAGATACATCTTAGTTGATAACCAATTTTGCCTCTTCTTAATACAGTATAGCTAACCTTACAAAAACAAGTGTAATAAGAAAAAATTATAAAATTTAAAAAAAGACACTAGGTATATCACCGGACAATACGAGTAACACTTAGACGTTCAGGAGTGGCAAGTCTCTTTTTAGCGCTAAAATATTGCAATTAAATATATCATAGTCCTAGTAAAATGTATTATAGTTGATCACAAGCGATCCATAAACGCACATTGTCCGTAATTGTTTCAGTGACTTTTTACGTTAAAAAATGATGTATGCCGAGTCCATCTAGTAAGAACCAATAATTGAACTCTTTCAAGTAGTGACCCACACTCAATAGAATCACCTATTAATTTTACCGGGAATAGGAGTAAAGCCTGTTCTCTCCTGCATTCCAGGCTCTGCATGCCATAAAGCAATAATCTTGTTGATTTTACTTCAGGGTCAAATCGTTAAATGTCTGATACGGTGACTGTTGCGTAGAAATCGCTTTTTTTTTTTCTTTTTTCTCGCTATTGAGTTCATTTCATATCAAATGTTAATTGACCTTGTTTGATAACATGTGTTATGGATATGAAATCTGTGCTTAAAGAAAAGATATTTTATGAATTTATATTGCACTCTTTCAATTCTCTTGGTATGACAGGTGTAAGTAGATCAAGCCAGGCCATTGTAAAGTGTCCTGATTGCTTTTGTTTCAGTCACGTCCCTAGTATGTCTCTTGATAAAGCCAAGCTTTCTGAGTTCTTTGCATTCTATGGAATATATGTGGTTGTTAAAAGATTTGGTTTCAAATGTAATGCCCAGATCAATAACTGTCACAGAACTATCTTAAGTTGAAGCTGTCAATACTGTAACAGTTAAGAGTAGGATTATGGGATCTTGTAAAATGTATGATTGTGCACTTAATAACATTTATAGAAAGGGTGTTATTTTTTCAATAGGTAAAAAACCTATTTAGGTCAGACTGTAAGGCGAAGTTATTACTAGTGGTTCTTCTAAAAATGTTTAAATCATCTGCGAAAAGAAGGCATTGGTTATTAAGAAAGGACGTAACATCATTTAAAAAAAAAGGAAAACAATAGGGGACCAATATATGAGCCTGGAGTAACACCGGACGGGACTGAAACGTTACATGATATGGAATTATGCACTATAAAACGTTGACAGCGCTCAAATAAGATTCAATCCAGTAAAGATAAGAACCGAAGATAGCCATTTGAAAGAGTTTCTTAAGTAACAATTCATGGCAGACACTATCAAAAGTGTTTGCCAGATCAGTGTAGATGATGTCAACCTGGTAACCATTTTCAATTGATTAAATTAAGAAGTCTTGATAGAGTACCAGATTAGTTGTTGTCGAGCGACCTTAATAACAGCCATTTTATTGAGGTGAAAGATACTTTTTATACGTGTAAAACATTTCATCTGTTAAGATTTGTCACTTTTATCGCCTTTCTTATAAACTGGCATAAGGTGGTAAAACTTTCAAGTAGAGGGAAATATTCCACTATCGAATAATTTTTGGATAATTTGGATAAGTGGGATTGACAAAGAGTTACAGCAGCCTTTCAAGAACGACGATGGTACGGTACCAAGTCACAGATCACAGTTTATACTTATTCAGTGTTTGTTTAAAGTCAACTACATCAATATTATTTTATTTTTTCCAAATTTGTGAGGACAGAAGGGAAGGCATCATATATCTAAGAGAAAATGCATTACAACTTTTCATTTAATATGTTAAAGAAGTATTAATAACTGAACATCGAGCTGCATCGTTTACCAGTCGATAGTCCCCTCTCTATTAGTTATCTGGACATAGATATATTTATATTCTGTTGTCTTTAGATTTCTCTAGGTACTGTAGATGTTTACTTTATGATTATGTCATTTAGTCAAGCTTCATTCTCCCCCATTCACTCTAACTCCAGCGTTTGGTTATTTTGATTAGTAACAGTTCAACACACCTAAGTGACAGTTTAAAACACTCTACAAAACTCTTCTCCCGACCCGTTCCATCACCTGACTAACCGAACCCAACAAGTATAAATGCATATTAAGGCATCCAATTTTTTAAGTTTTGTTCCCCATTTTTCAATGTTTGTGGTATAAACAATAACTGAACAAGGTACTAACCGGCATCTTAAACTGTTATACTCAGCGCAACCTACTGTACAAAGTAAAAACAAAAAATTCAACTCCACTATGCTCTCCTCTACAATATTAATTTGATTGCTTCTTTAAAGGTAACACTACTAGACGCCCCAGGCCACAAAGATTTTATTCCTAACATGATATCAGGTGCTGGGCAAGCTGACGTTGCTCTTTTGGTCGTAGACGCGAATCGTGGTGAATTCGAAGCTGGTTTCGACTATGGCGGCCAAACACGTGAACATGCGCTGCTCGTCCGCTCCCTCGGAGTCTCCCAAATAGCCGTCGCCGTTAATAAGTTAGACACCGTGTCCTGGTCGCAAGAAAGATTCGATGATATCGTTAAGAAATTGAAGACGTTTCTGAGGCAAGTTGGTTTCAAGGAGTCAGATGTCAGTTTTGTACCTTGTAGTGGACTCACCGGACAGAATTTGATTATTAAACCAACGGAAAATGATTTATTACGATGGTATGATGGACCATGTTTATTGGAAGTAATAGGTAGGTTTGGTTAAAGCTTCAATATTTACTTTTAAAATTATCTTTCTTTCAGATAAATTTCGGTCTCCTGAAAGACCAGTATCCAAACCATTTAGATTGTCAATTAATGACATATTTAAGGTAAGATCCACAGCCCTTAGTTTTGGTCTTTTAATGTATAATTTTTGTACATTTGCAGGGCACTGGCACTTCATTTTGTGTATCTGGTAGAGTCGAAACAGGAACCTTAAGTGCTGGTGACAAAGTTTTAGTATGTCCTAATAGGGAATATGCCGTAGTAAAATCACTAGCGATTGAAGAATCTTCAAAGACAATAGTGTTTGCAGGAGATCAAGTAATAGCCACTCTATCTGGAATAGAAATGCAAAATGTCTCCGTTGGAAATATACTGTGTGATCCTCAAAGACCCGTCCAAGTAGCAATGAAGTTCCAAGCCAGAATAGTTGTTTTTAATGTGTCTGTTCCCATCACTAAAGGGTATCCTGTTGTTTTGCACAATCAATCTTTAGTAGAGCCAGTTGTTGTTAATAAACTGATTTCACAGTTAAATAAGAGTACAGGCGAACTATTGAAGAAGCATCCGAGGTTTTTAGGACCCAATACTAGCGCTATTGTGGAGATACAGATTTCCAGGCCTATTGCTCTTGAGTTGTACAGTGAATGTAAAGAATTAGGGAGAATCATGCTTAGGATTGGGGGAGTAACTATCGCTGCTGGATTAATTACTCAAATTATATTGTAAGTTTGAAAAAAAAGTTTTATATTATCAATGGCGTTTTTTTACCCTATTTATTAAGATTTGTGGATTTCGACAAGTAAATTCTAATTACCCAGGTATATTTATGGATGCGTCTACTTTATTACATATAAAATTAAATACTACATAGAAAGAAGTATTTTATATTTTTGTTGGTTAAATGATGATAGCTTGTGACATCGGACCTAAAAAATAATATATTTACTTTTATTTACAAGTTTGTTTTATTTTTAAAATAAGCATTTTTGGTCACCTCTTAATATATTCAGAATACGTTTATCCTGCTAATACCGCGCTGGGATGTGATTTATATCCCACCATAGATTATTGCATGCCCAACAAGAAGTAAGAAAAATGTATAACTCATTTAAGAAGTGGATATTAGAAGATTATTAAAATGTTAAAAGGTCAAACAAAACACCGCATCCAGGAACGATTTGTTGGGAACCATAGAACTGAAATTAGGAGAATGGATTTGATGCCAATTTTTTCTCAAAATTTACGTTCCGGTAAGAATATTCAAAATTGAGGTTTCTGAGTTTGCACTATGAATATGTCAAAAATGCCAATTGCCATTCATGAAAGTAAATAGGTTTTTTCGTTCGTCCCACTGGTGTAGGAATGAACTACACCAACGCACACAATACCTTTCGTTTGGCCCGGTGTAAAATCCACTATACCTTCCTGTCGGTGTGGTGTCCACTGGTGGATATTGGGTCCTATGATTGAACGTTTACGTTATCCGTAACGTACATGTTAGGCCGAATTTTAAAAGTAACGAGGCAAGTTCGTATGTTGGAAAACTGTTAAATTAGAACATAACAGGCGGAAAATAACAGTAGTGTGTTGGAAAAAGTTTTCCATCATACGAACTTGCCTCGTTACTATTAAAACTCGGCCTAACATGTACGTTACGGATAACGTAAACGTTCAATCATAGGACCCATTTTCTCCACCAGCTATTTAGCAGTAGTGAATTACACCAAATGAACTGGAGTGGGGTAGAATGCTTGTCAATAGGCTTGAGATGCGACTCTATGGGCGAAGACAGGTTATTTTTCATCTCACTCGGGAGTATTTATAACAACCATTTTCTATTTCACTTTGTTATTGTCTGATCCACCAGCTTGTGGATTGAACAATAATGTGAAACAGAAAATGGTTATTATAAATACTCCCGAGTGAGATGATAAATAAAAATGGCTGCGCCCATAGAGTCGCATCTTGTTCTATTGATACGATATGCACATTGGCTTTCTACCCCACTCCAGTTCATTGATTACACCTCGATATGTGTAAAAAAATTAGGAGGGAAGTAAACTAGGAGTGAGATTACAGAACGTCTGCAACTTTGCAGATCAGCAAATATGGCGGCAATTTTGAAAATCTGCAAATATGACTGACTTACACATGCAAGTATCAAGTTTTCGTATTCCAAATTTGGGTTTAGTGTTGTTGTGGGTAATAAACCACAATAAATATTGCGAATTTGCAGATATTTTTTGGAATACTTGCATTTGTAAGTCCGCCATATTTGCAGATCTGCAAAGTTGCAGACGTTCTGTAATCTCACCCTAGGTAAATAAGGTGGTGTAATTGACACTGGTGCACACTGCACCAACAGCGAACGAAAGAATCTAATGTGAACTTATTAATTTAAAATCAATTTTACTAAAGATTAGAATCAGTGGCGGCTTGTCGTAATGGGTCAAAGCGCCAAATATGTCTGTCAATATTTATTTTTGATTTTAGTTCAATAATTATTAAAATTGTCGGCTCAAATGGCTAAACGACGCATATATAAATTATTTATTATGTAATTTGATGCCAATGAAAAAATTTGCGTCATGTGTTATTCCACAAAAGAGAGAACATGTTATTCCAAGACTACAAATATTTTGACTCGTCATTCGACTGACTATTATGTCAGATCGCAAAACGACCCGGCCGGTCGGGTCGGTAGTGTAGCGGTCTAACGCGCTTATATTCATTTGAAATTCACTCGTAAGGGGGTGAATTAGGGATAAAATTATTATTATTATAACAATATATTGAGAAAGCTTACGTCACACATGCAGAAAGTACGTGTTTAATACGTTTAAATGGGCCAACGAATTTATAGTGACAGTATTTTTTAAAGTTTGTTTTGCTCGTTATGTTTAGCTAATAAATTAAAACTTTATATACCAAAATTACGTCACACTTTCATGGCGTATTGTACCGTCTTGAGTTGTAATAAAGGAATTACATGGAATAATTTAACATCAGTGAGCACATTATTTGACAGATACGTACTAACTACATTATAAAAACGTGTATTAGAACCAAGTTTAAAACTAATACAGCACAGGAAAAATGGAAAGTGGGTGAATTAAGGGTTGGAGCCTAGATTTAATTAATTTACTTAGATGCGTTGACACCATAGATATATAACCAAGACAGATAGTGTTACGTGAAATTAGTTTTAAATTTATTTTTAACAACAACTTCTCCATAACCCCTCGTAACATAACTTAAACGACCACCGCTCGCTTCCTCGAAATTTGAAAAATATGGTTTGCGCACGGAACCTAGTGTTTCTTTGGGCAACCACGTCGTCATAAAACCAACTCGTTTGGATTCAACCGGTCTTTTGGTGTATCGAGTTCAACGTGATAGCTTGTGTTTATTGTTTGTTAACGTTGGGATAATTGTCAGGTAATGTTTCTTTCACCCTATATTTTAACATTTTGCTTTTTTTTTATTACCATCATATTTTTGAGCTTTCTTTGATACTTTGATATATACGCGGGGAGGCAACTAAATAATTGAATTACATTACAAGTCAGTCTGGAAATACAGTTTAAACGGAAATCTATGGCTCTAAACTTATTTTGGCCTTATAAATAGCTTATATTTTGTTCAGATGATGTAAAACTTATTTTGGCCTTATAAATATTTTATATTCTGTTCAGATGATGTAACTTTAATATTTGTCGTGATATTTTATATTCTGTTCAGACGATGTAACTTTAATATTTGTCCCGTTTATGCAGAAGTCCGTTAGATTTCTAAAATGGCATGTATATGTACTTTTACTGTTACTGAGGTTCTTTTTATTTCTAAACCTGTAGTGGTTCCAGGAAGCTCTAAGAAGTCCCGAGTTACGTAGTTGCTCTTAGAAGCTCTAAGAAACAAGAAGTCTGAGAGTTACGTAGTTGTTCCTAGAAGCTCTAAGAAACAAGAAGTCCGAGTTACGTAGTTGCTCAGAGATGTTACGAGTTACGTAGTTTCTCCAAGTTCCGAGCTCCAAGTACCTAAGCGGATTGTCCACAACACGACATACAAAAGGGAAGTACCGTAATAAAATGCCACATGGTCGGGACAATTAATACCTATCTGTAAATTTTATTCATTCATTTATTCACATTTAATCACTAACTATTAATTTATAATATACAAATTTATTCTTTTTACTTTTTCTATTAAATGTATTAAATTTTCTCACTTTTTTATTTGCCAGAACTCATACAGATAACTTTAAATACTAGAGACTGACTTAATAATTAAACAGGACATCAAATCAGATAAGTTTTCCAAGTTATTCAAAAACTTTCTTTCATTTTATCGTAAAGTAGACTTTGGCCCGCGAACCGGTCAAGCTACATCGTAGAAATCAAAAAGAAGGTAGCCTGATATTTTCAGCTTTTAAAGTTTAGTTTTCATCGAAACTAAGCTGGGAAGCAGATACCCATAATAGGTGTTATGCTCTCCCTGTAAAAAATCTTAAAGTTTCAGCCAGATGCTGCATTAATTTGACATATTCCTCTAAAAAGGATATTTCATGTTCCTTAAATACCGTAATCATAATTTTACTACATAGAACTCCTAACTTATCTTTGACGGAAAAAATTTCACAACTTCGAACATTTGGAAAAATATTTGTGTTTTTTTGTCGCAAAGGCAGTAAACCATTTACCGAATTTTTGTAATCGGTAGTTGCAATGAGATTTATGGTATGTGAGGCACATCTTATGTGTTGCGGTAAATATCTTTCCTGTGTAAATTCCCCCATGGGGTATTTTTTAAGAACAACAAAAAATATATGGAATAAGTGTTTCTTATATCAATAATAATTTTGAAGCAAAAAAATATAATATTTAAGGGGGTAGTTTCATCCCCTTAAAATTCGAATTTTGAAAAATGTCCTGTCATAAAACATCTACACCCTATATAAATTAACCTGCATGCTGGAATTCAGCTCTTTACGTTAAACGGTTTGCCCATAATCGAGATTAATTAGTCAGTTCACTGAGCATTTTACATTAACATATTAGTATAGATTATTAAATTATTTTCCACTCTATTTTATTACTATTCTGGAGTATTTTCAAAATACTTATAGTTAGTTACATTTTATGTTTAAATAGTTTTTATACCACAGAATAAAAATACCGTAGTCAAATACATACACACAAACACGACCTGCAAAATAAGCATACGTTTCTTTACGTACAAAATACTAACCCACAAGCTTTTACGGCTGCTAAATGTAAAATGCGCCCCGACTTCCGTACGCGCTCGATCGGCAATAAGACAAGAAAATCCTGTTGAAACTAGAAAAAAGCGTTAAAATTTTCTAAGTAGGTATACTGAAGTACATTCTGGGTATTTAAGCACATTTACATACTAAAGAACGTTTTAAGTACTTTTAAAGTACTTATTTTCATTCTTTCTTCACTTTTTTAAGTAAAAAAGTACTTAACTCCAAATTTTACTGTTTAAGTACAATGACAAGAACTTAAAAATGTAAGTACCCGTACCAAGTACAGGCATTTTTGCAGGTACTTAAAATACAATACTTTTTGTACTTAAGTAATTTTTTTAAGTGCGTAAAAGTATTCGGTATCTCTGTCCTAGAGCCGATAAAGCACTTTCTAGAAATGATGCTGTTCTACACTTTTTAGAAGATATTTCCAATTACTATGAGACTCTTTTTACTGATGGTACTGTTAGCAAAATAAAAAGGGGAAAGCCGAAATTAAAGGATGTGGCAATATCTTCCTTTATGATTGTATTATAACAATAAAAAATATGTTAACTGTGTTTTATTTTGCTCTTACCTACTATATTTAGGTATAACTCAAAAAAAGTTTAGACACAAAATTGTACTTACCATTAAAACATGCGAGACTTATTTAGAAAAAAATACAACAGTATATAATGTACTTTATTTGACAATAAACAAGTTTATTTTTATTATTTTAACAAAATTATGTAAAATTCCCATAAGAAGACATGTATTTTGAACAGTGGTACTAGCACCAGCGCCCTTGCGGTGAATTAAAAAAGCTCAATTAGCGTTCGTTTTTTGGGACCGTATTTCCAGTATGCCGATTCGCCTCCTTATCTCTTGTCTTCAAATGCAGCAATGGGAGCACAAAAATTAATGACCAAAAAACGTATTTACAATAAATTATTTGTAGATTAAGAGTCAGATTACAGACCGTCTGTAACTTTGCAGGTCTGCAAATATGGCGGAAACTTTGCAGATCTGCAAATATTTATTTGTGGTTGCAATACTAAACCCAAATCCATTAGTATATTTAAAAACTCAATAATCTGACACCACGAACTTTCAAACAAAAGGAATAGAAGACTTCATAGTTATTAAAAAAAAATTAAAAATTGACAATCTGCAAGTTTGTAGGACGTTCTGACCTCCTTAAGGGTAAATTTGGGTTTAGTGTTGTTGGGGGTAATAAACCACAATAAATATTGTGAATTTGCAGATATTTTTTGGAATACGAAAACTTGATAATTGCATCTGTAAGCCCACCATATTTCAGATATGCAAAGTTGCCGCCATGTTTGCAGATCTGCAAAGTTGCAGACGTTCTGTAATCTCACTCTTATAGTTAACGATTTACTTTAAAAATGTTTAGATTTAACTGTAAAAAAGCTTATAAGCAGGAAAAGCCTTTTCAATGCATTTTTGATATATTAAAAAGATTTCTTTCTTTTATATATCAATAGGTATGTCGATTTTATTTTTCTTTACGAAAACAATTAGATCAAACTACAAAAATATCACAATCTAATAAAAAAATACATAAATATGTATTTTCAGCATCAGTAATGTAAAACTCATTTTGGGACAAATTTCATAGTAATAATAAAGTTTAAATATGAAGGTATATAAAATTTTGGGGAAATACAGGAAACATATTAAAAAAAAAAACAAAACTTAGTATATTGATGCTGCGTTTGAGAATCCACATCGGATGCATTTTTTACATCTCGAGCGTTTTTTTATTCACATCGGACACATCTGTCCCATTACATTTACGTATACTGAATCACGTGATCAAAGATTTTTTACATCTCAGATGCATCCGATGTGGATTCTCAAACGCGGCAATGGTCCACTGCAAGATAATCTGCGCAATGATCTGGCAACCTCTTGAAACGTTCGCCAACATGCTGATCAGAGCCGGCTTAGGTTGAGTGTTATTTGTTTAAATGTTAAAGATAATTTTTAAAATTTGATTTCTACAAAGATCCTTTTGCGGTCTAAATTGCATTGAAAAAAATATAACACGCTGCGAACTTGTATTAAAATTAAAAAAAAAAACATGTTTTATTACCAAACACAACATGTTCAACTAAAAAATATATTGAAACTGACTAAAATTATTAAGTATTAATTTTAAAAAATAATATGTTTCACTAGATTTATTTTGTGGAAATGTAGGTAAATGGATTTAAAAACGTCTATATTTCTAAATTACTTTCACAGTCACTAATTTCATGTTCTGAAATAATATCACTATCATCATCAGTATCATCCAAATTTATTTAAATTTTTTTAATCGTATTATTAAATCTCATATATTTCTCTTTGATTTTTTTAACATGTTTAGCGTTTTTCTAGTTTCAACAGTTATACAGTTAAATGCATTTCTTAATACATCAATTACAGAAGAAGTGGACTTAGGAGAAGAGTTATTTGCTCGAGAATAATTTTTAAATGTGATCATAATAATTCTATGGGGTTCAAAATACAGTGGTAGGGTGATAAACGTAAAACTTTAAATCAGTGTTTTATTGCTATAGTGGCAATAACATATTTAGGTTGAAAATCAACTAAGTGTAAAAGTTCTATTAACTGTTTTTTGTTTAAAAAAATTATCATTCTCCATCAGAAAATCCTAAATCACTAATTTTGTAGAATTGGTATTTGATTTTTTTCGTACCAACCGAGAATGGTACACGGCATTAGCTAAAACTATTACGCTATTTTCATTTAGTTTTAGTAGTAATGTATACTCTTAAAACCATTTTTCAAAAAGAGTACTTTCTGTGTCCTGGTGGTAGTCCAAACTACTATCCCGTACATCCTTTTCAGACAGCAAGAGAGCTCCTTCTACCCAACCTGATTCTCCACCACAATGTAAGATACATATTATTTTTCCTGATTGCACAATATAATCTGACAAACATTCTAAGGACCGATTCCACCTTGTGTTAAACGAAGTTTAAAATTACATTTTTACATTAACAATGTCATTTTAATCTCCGTTTAACACAACGGTGGAATTGGCGCTTACGAAATATTAATATTATCATGTTTGTTCCCCAAACAGGAAACATAAATTTTTAAAGTCCATTTGGGAGCACCGTCCCTGTTCCGGCTAAATACACAACTTTCCTTCATGTGTAAAGCAAGACGATTTTCTACTATAAATTGCAACATTCAAAAAATGCATTTTTTTGAGACGGCTTTTGGAAGATAAAAGAACTTTGTAAATAAGAGTGAGAACTGACCCAAATCGGGTTCTTGAGGGTTTTAGAGCTCGCTGATCACGATTATGATGTTCAAATTGACCCACATCAGGCGACCATGAGCTCAGGAACGACGATGAACGTCATCTCCGTGGGACACTCCCGAAATTAATGCGGGGAAGGAGAGAAACTCGGCGCCCGGCGTTTTTTGGGTCGCTGAATTCAAATATGGCATCGGCGAACACCCCCCGGACACCTGGTGTATCGGAACCTGGTCGTGGATCGTCATCCCCGAGAATTTTCCTGACAAGATCGTCAAAAACAATCCGAAAATCATTGCAGGGGCGTTTTTTGGGCGCTGAATCCAAATTTCCCGTCGAAAACGACCCTCACAACACCTGGTGCACCGGAACCTGGACGTGAACCTCATCACCGTGAGTTTTCCTCACACAATCGAAAAAGACGAACCAAAAATCGTTATGGGGGATTTTTGGCGTGCTGAATTCAAATGTGGCATCGGCGAACACCCCCCTGACATCTGGTGCGCCCGAACCTGGACATCATCCCCGATAATTTTCCCTACAAGATCGCCAAAAACAACCCGAAAATCATGGTAGGGGCGTTTTTTCGGCTTTTAATCAAAATTTCACGTCGAAAACGATCCCCAGAACACCTGATACACCGGAACTGGACACGGACCTCATCTCCGTGGGTTTTCCTCTCACAATCTAAAAAGACGAACCGAAAATCGTTATGGGGGTTTTTTAAGGCGCTGAATCCGAATTTCCTGTCGAAAACGACCCCCCCCCCCAACACCTGTTGCACCGGAACCTGGCCCTGAACATCATCTCCGTGGGACTCTCCAAAATTCACGCGGGGAAGGAGAGAAACTGGAAGCCCTAGGGTTTTTTGGGTGGCTGAATTTAGATGTGACATTTTCGAACACCTTCCGGACACCTGGTGCGCCCAAACCAGGATGTGGACGTCATCCCCGATTTCTGTCTGTCTATACTTACACAAAAGCGTTTCGAGGGTTGGGAGAAAAGTGAAAGGCCCATAGATAAATTAATAATCCCTGCATATTTTTTTCAGTATTAAAGTTAGAATAGAACCATTAACCACATGGGTAGTATCGAATTTATTAATTCTTAAGTTATGAATAGTTCACCCGAATTTCTGACTGACATACTGAACTTGATTCATTTCATAAAAATGTTATTTAAAACTTTTTTGTAAACCTATCAGAAATCGAAATATTAGCAAGTTACACACTGTATATTTTTCTTGTATCTATAAAAAGTAAAGTTAACATTTCAACATCTTTGGGTTTTTCTGAAAATATTTAGTTAATCAATTACGGCCCTGTTGGCACCTACTGCGCAAACTCTGTAGAAACGTTTTCTAAACTGTGACTGGAAAATTGGAACTCGCTTAAAATAAATAACTTGGTAAGTTGGTCACAATGTTTATAATTGACGTTTGCCATTCCTGGCTTGGCCTGACTTTGACGTTACTAGTATTTGGTTATGAAACAGGAAATTGTCATTTTTAATTTATATTTCAATTTACATATAAAATATAAAAGAAATACTGGTATTTACGAATGTAAGTAGTTTAAAAACAGTCTTATATTTGTTAATTTTTAATGACGATATTTTTTTATTTCAGGAATCCGCAATACGGTAATAATTTATATGTTACATACTTATTTTCTCAAGCAGAGACTATTCAAAATTCATAATCTTCCTATTCGGTTTGGGGCCCTAAAGAGAAAATTTAAATATGGTTACATAGAGTGGAGATGGTGAATTAATAATTTTTCACTTTTCAAATAGTTTTAGGTGGTGTACAAAAACGGCCTGGGCATAAATATTATTTTAAAGAGGATTACCTTAATGAATATGATGCTTTTACTAAATATTATAGGACTATTTGGTAAATATTTTAAATATACATTAGAGAGTATAAATACTAGTTACTCCATTGGAATTTTTTTTTCTAACAATTTATGTTTTAGCTCAAATGGATACATTTCAAAAATATCCAGCGAGGTAGATAATATGGGTGATTACTGTGATCTTTATAATAATGTTTCTGAGGATACCAAATCCTTACAATTAAATTTATTTTATGAACCATTTACTGATCACCAGAAGAATGAAAATATTTTATATGCAACTGACCATGTAAGAATACAGTAAGTTAAAAATATAATTTTCATGCAAAACAATCAAAATTGGAAAAAGTGCAGTTGCTAGGGAATCCACATTTCAATAAAAAAATGTTTTTTGTAAGTAAACAAGCCTTCCAAAAACAAAAATGAAAAAAAAAAAACCCAGCGGTCTCATGAGAAAAACAAAAAATTACTTAATTTACCTAACCTGACACAACCTGCTCCCAAAGTATAGCTTTCAAAAGCAATATAAAGTAAGTATACCAGACAGGGAAGCGTGGACCAGAGGACTTCCTATTCATACAGATTTCACCTGGTATACAGATGGCTCCAAAACCCATGAAGGTTCAGGAGTAGGTATATATAGTACCAAGCCAAAGACATGAATCTCACTGAGCTTAGGTAAAGATGTGACAGTATGCGCTAGTTCAGTGTGATGTCATTTTGGTTCCACTGACTTTTAATTTTAAGCAAACTTTTAACAAAAACATCAATAAGTTTGACATATACGTTTTTACTGTTTTTATTTTATTTCAAAATATTGTTTACAGGTCATAAAAAATAGTTTAAAGGTATGTAATTGGTAACTAAACAATTGTATATTTGATACATGCTATCTACTTACTTTAGGAATATATTTATAAAAGTGAAAAAAAAGATATAATTTAGGTAAACAAAACGAACAAAACGCACTCAAAAAATCTACTGTCACTTTAATTGTCAGTGGAACCATAATTACATCATCACTGAACTAGCGCATTCCAGGCAGAAATAGCAGCAATACATCACTGCACAAAAGAAGTATTAAGACAGAAGGTAAATTAAAAACCATTGTCAAATACTCAGACAGTTAAGCGACGTTAAAAGCACTCAGTTCCATGCAGGTACACTCAAAGCTTGTGTGGGACTGTTTGGAAGCCTTAACAGAGCTGGGTAGTCAAAACAGACTAACCTTAGTCTGGGTACCAGGCCACAGGGGACATAAGGGCAATGAAGAGGCTGATTTACTAGCCCAAGAAGGAGCCTCAAATGTTCTTATTGGCCCAGAACCCTTCTGTGGTGTAACAAAAACAACTATCAGAACATCCACAAAGCAGTAGATGTTTAAAAAATCTCAGGAGTGGTGGAAAAACTCACCAGGACAGAGACAGGCCAAAGAGTTCTTAAAAGGACTATCACCAAGCATTTACTGAGCCTTAATAGGAAAAATACTAGAGTACACTAGTAGGTCTATTAACAGGGCATTGTAGGCTTAACAAACATATGTACAATATCGGTCTGACAGAAGAGGCCTTGTGCCGATTCTGTCAAGAAGAGGAGGAAACGGCAGAACACATATTGTGCTACTGCAAAGGTCTAGCAAGACTGAGATTCCTTACACTTGGAGAAGAAATACCAAGGCCAACTAGCTATACTGGAGATCTACTACCCAGTCTATAGAGTCTACTACAAAAGACCGAATTAGACAAGCTACTCTAAACAATGATTAAAGGATATCCACAATAGATCTGAAAAGGTCGGAGGCCACATGGTCCATAGTCCTAATTAAATCTTAATCTATTAACCTGATACGGGTTGCTTTGCAGAAAAAATAAGATAAGAAAAATTAAACAAAAACTAATTTACCTAACCTGCGCGGCTTGGAGCCATCGAGGGTGCTTCTCCAAAATTATACATAAAAAAAAACTTATATAATTTACCTAACATGTGCATCCTGGAACCTTTTTAAAATAATTACAAAAAAATTACCTGACCTACATAAAAAAATTCATGGCCCCCTATATTCATTACCACCTTCACCATCATCGTTTTTCAATACCATTAGAATGCTCTAATGCTATACAGCTTCATATAAATCCCGAGCCAGAATCAAAAAAAAATAACCATCACAGTTTTACATACTAAACATTTATTTCATTATTTTCGAGTATTAAGGTACGTTTACATCTGACATTTATTGCATGATATTTATGTCTGACAGTTGTTTAGTCCAGTGTAAACACTCAAAAATATATGTCGGAGAGAAATGTGTGTGTGTTTACACTGGACTAAACAACTGTCAGACATAAATCTCGTGCAATAAATGTCAGATGTAAATGTACCTTTATACCTTTGGGCTATAATTTTTTTATTATTATTACACCTTGTATAATCTACATTTATATAATCTATTATCAAAAGAAAACCATTAGAAACTAAAACAGTATATCATGTTGTTATAATAAAATTAACAATTACAGTAAACTAGTACAAAAACATCACATCACCGACATTGGTAAATAGGAAAGAACACAAGTGGAAAAGTGAAAATTTTAAAAGTTATAAAATTCATTAAAATAAGTGACCACCAAGATTTTTTCATTTTTAAGGTTCCAAAAACAAGTACTTCCGCATAAATTGAAAATTTTTCAATATCTCATTTGCATGTTATATATTGTAGATTCTGAAATTACATATTTGTATGGGTCTATCTTTATTGGAAGAGTCTCAAAACCCTCTTTATAATAATTAAAAAAAAATACTTTTCTATTTTCTGCTATATACAGACATTAAATAAAGTTCTTGATTTTCCTAATCAAATTCACCAAATATGAAAAATCCTATTCTTTGTCCTTACCAATAATTCCAGGATGTATCTGTACATTAATGTTATATATTAATATGTCTCATAGGGCAGAATGCTTACCATGTTCCTAGGACCCCAAAATGTAAAGATTTGGTGTTATCTCAAATTCGAATTTTGGACTGATTACAATAACTTCCCCATTTTTGTGGGTTTGGTGAGAAGAATAAAAAATTAAAATAATTTCTCAGCAGTTACTGCAAAAAGTATTAGGCTGCTGTTATTTAAGACAGTGTTTGTCCCGTCCGTTCTTTGTATATTGAACCTTTGTTAAACCTAATTATAATAATAATAATAATAATAATAAAGGTCTTTATTTTCCTTTCAAGTTACATAACTATCTGAAACTATCAACCCATTACGAGAAAAACAGCACGTGTTTTAACCTTCCAGCAGGCGCGTTCACAAAGTTACATGAACATAGATACATTACCATATTTTGGTATAAAATAAATTAAACATCATTACCAATAGATTTATCAACTCTTCACAATTATTTTCGTTATTTAGAACGTATTTCTTTTTTTCCAGATGCCATTTTAATACCTACAAAAAAATTAAAACATAAATACAACATACTTAGGCGCATGTATCTCTCAGATACATATAGTAATCTTACCATTATATTTTATCATATAGAATAATAAAATAAAAATAAATTACAAGCCTATTTATACATTAGCAGCAAACATTCAAAAACCGTAAATGAACTAAAAAAATATGAAATAAAAAAAACCAACAAACTGTCATGTGTAACTGTGAGATACAAAATATCAATATCTCAAAACAGTTGACCACTTGAAGGTCACATGGCATACTTTTAGATAGGACCACTGGAGCCAGGAAGGTAGATAGGAGCGGAAAGGTCTTGCTCTTTAAACGCGGTAGTACAAATGAAAAGAAAATTACGATGTATCTGAGAGATAGATGCACCTGCCCGAAGGTTAAAAATATTTGCCTTCTACATATACAGGGTGTTTCTAAATTCATGCGACAAAATTCAGGAGGTGATTGCTATTATGAAATTAAGATGGGTCTTTCCTATAACAAAATTTCCTCAGCCCACCCCTTTCCGAGATACCACCCTTAAAAGATGGTGACTAAAATTGAGTTTTTTTTCTTCTAAAATTTCAGTAAAGCTAGAAACTTGAAGTTTTGTAATTTTCGTTCCCTCGCAAATGACTAACCACTGGTATTTTTTCAATATTCCTGTTACATTATAGGGGGGTGAAATTAGCAACTTTATTTCATATCAAAACTTTTTTTCGAGATGAAGTTTTATGAAATAAAATTATAACTTGAAATCCTTGTTTTATTTAAAAAAAAAATTATTCTTAATTTTTTTTCCCAAAACCAATAGCTGCAGAGGAAAAAAATAAATACCATAATTTATAATTTTTTTTAATAAATTGAGTGGAAAACAGTAAAGATGTAATACGATTCATAATAAATGCTGGAAATAACCACCTCTAGCCAAAATTTCAAATTTCTAGCTTTACTGAAATTTTAGAAAAAAAATAAAAACTCAATTTTAGTCACCATCTTTTAAGGGTGATATCTCGGAAAGGGGTGGGCTAAGGAAATTTTGTAATAGGAAAGACCCACCTTAATTTCATACGAGGAATGACCTGAATTTTGTCGCATGAATTTAGAAACACTATATATTTGGCAGCGTTTTAACTATTTGTAATTATTCTATTGGCTATTTATGCAAACAAATACTAAATAATTATAGTTTTTTAATACTAATTTGCTTTTAAATGCTTAAAGGGATAAATGCAGGTTTTCTTAGAAAAATAAAGACCTTTATTGATTATTTTCATTTATATATGATTTCAAATTTAGATTCGTTGTTATAGCTAATTATAAAAAAATAGAAATTGTATATCAACAATAAATATGCAAATTTACATATTTTAAAATTAAACCTGTCTCGTAATTAATCGTGCTTTGTAGATGGAATTATCTGTTTTGTACCTATCCTTGCTACTCGCATTATCTGTTTCAAGAAATTTTATTTGTAAAAATTATTTTAGGCGAAACATTGACAAGGGCAACCAATTAATAGCAACACGAAACTTATCGAGAAATACAGTATTAATAAATGAAAAACCAACAGTTTTACAAGTTGCTCCACTATGTAGCTGTGTTGGAGATAGTCGTACATCCCTCTATAGATGTCATCATTGTGGAACATCATGCAAGCAGTTTTATACGTAGGACCAGCCTACTCCCGGCAACTTGATATTTGAAATATTTTTGTGTTTTAGATGTGATAGTTGTAACGTGTGCACGTTTTGCTCAAGAAAATGTCTAACTATCGCGTGCAAAGAGTACCATGTCTATGAATGCTTCGGGCTCCAGAGGCATTTCTGGTCTATGGATGATACGGATTATGGTTACATATCTTTTAGAATATTGTTATATGGAGCCACAAAAGATTTTAATACTGACTTTACTAATTATTCTTATGGGAACGTTGAAAATAATTATCCATTTATTTATGGATTGGAAAGTCATTTTAAAGATATGTCTCGTACAAAGGTCAATAAAATTTTATATGTAAGTAGGTATTTTAGTTGATTACCAAAAATTTTATCATCGTAATCTTAGACTAGGAAAGAAGGGATGTGTAATTCCGAACTCTAATATGCGATTATTTGGCACACACATAAAATGTAAATTTGTTGACAGTATATGCTAGTTGTGCATATGAGTGTATTATGTTTGTGTATAAAAATAAAAGTATATTCAACGAATATATAGCAGACCACCTTCACAACACAAGTTTAGAAATAATTTTTGTCTACCGTCGCATAGAACTACCCTACTGGAAAAGGGATGCTGTTACAAATGTTTGCAATTTTATAATATGCTTCCTGATCTTTTAAAAAATACTAAGAGTCTATCAGCTTTCAAAAATAAGGTCAAACAAATTTTGATTTCTATTGAGCCTTACAGCTTAGATGATGTAAACGAAGTTTTTGTAAGTAATTATTATTTGTAAATACTTTGTGAAATCAACAGAAATCTATACTAGTGTTCAATGGTAATATGGGTTTTGCTGGGTTTCCCCATATTTCGTAGCAAATGCACCACTATATTCATTTCTATGTCACCCCAGTGTGCACTTTGTAGGTCATCAAACTAGTACAGATTATCCTGACTTCTGACTTATACCATACAATTTTATATGTATTTTTTCTGTATAATATTGTTCCTGGCATTAATAAATATTATTATTTTTATATTTCTCTGTCTAAGCCTTAGACAGTGTCATAACCAGAAATTAATTAAATTAACACTGTCTTGGTTTTATTGGCCCAAACACTATTTCTTTCTGGATACTTCAGAGGAAATCTAAACCAAACAATGAAAATATGTAAGTAAATTCCATAAAAATTAATAAACCCATTTTATAATAACTAATATTGTATATGAAAATTAGTCATTGAGTATAATGCCACTGCCACTAAACTTTAACTGGGTTATGCAGTTCATTGCCATATTATTCGGCATTTTTTAGGTTTTAAAAATATAGTTTTTTTGACTTTGATTAAAGGTCCGCGTTTCCACGGATAAATTATTTATCAAAACAGCACAAACAACCATGTAATATTTATCACAAAATTCAAAATAAAATTTTTCGTACCTACAAATAATTCAGTACATTAGGATTAATTAAATAAATAAATCACAATAAGAAGCAAAACCTCTAAATATATTTTTTAGATCTCTAATTTACTAGTTTCAGCGGATAAACATTATTCCATCAAAACAGTAAAAAAAATATTTAGTACGTAATTTCAAATAGGTCAATTTTTTTACGAATAATTCAGAACATTACTATTAATTTAATAAATAAAAAACATTTAGGAACAAATTTTTTACTTGTAATTTTTAGCTATGGCATTCAGGAAGAATTCAACTACTTTGCTGAAACAACACTTAAAACCTAATTTAAAAAATACTCTCTTAAAACTATAATCTATGTATAAAGATTATTTACAGAAGTCCATAATTACATATTGATTACCTACCTGTTTTGAATTCTATTTTTATTTTAATATAGAAAATAAGATTTAAAAAATTACAGGAAAGAGGACAATAAATTGTTAATTTATGAATAATTCATTGGAAATACCAACGGTTTACATAATTACGCTGATGTTTTTCTGAAGTTTTGAACGTGTAATTTGAAAGAATATTTGCATTAATATTTTTTGTGAGTTTTATAGCGTGACGTCTTTTAGTTTTATGTGAAAATTAATAAAAAAATCAAAATTAGTGTAATTTCTCAATAACTTAAAATAATTTTAAAATTTGTAGATTTTCGTAAGGGGGTGGTAGAAAAAATATACTGTACAACTCAAGTGGATTGTCCATATTCACTCTTGCTGCACAAACTGCTATTTTGCAATGTTCTCCCTACCTAGAATGAATATGAAATATATTCGTTCAGTTGAACACAATAGCATACTTTTTTGTTTTGTAGTCTGTACGTAGATAAGTAATATCCATGTGGGTGTAGAAAATATTAATGTTTGACCCAAGAACAAACCCTGGATATTTAAAACAAGTTACTTTTTCCAAATTAACGACGGCAAATTTTATTTTTTTAATTCTGTATCTTTCTTATTTTTGAGTTTTTTAAAAAGTTATTTGAAATAGATGATTATTTTAACGACTTCTATGCACAGTTTATGCACTCGTTTCGCGTATTTGCTTAAACTCTTTGAAAAACTGCCGTATATTTAGATTAAATTTAGAACCGACTTTTAGTTTTTATTATTTATAATAATTAAGCCTAGAAATAACATTTTGTTTTATGTGGAGAATGCTTTAATCCAAGTCGATTAAGTTAAATCTGTAGAAATATTTGCCGAAAATAATTTCAACAAATACAAATTAATTATTTGTTGACATTATTTTTTAATTTTTGATTAGTAGTTTTCGATTTTTACTTTTTTTTTTTTTCAATTAAACAGTATCGAGTTTTGATTTACTAGTTATACTTTTGGAGGACTACTTTATTGAAGCCAAATATCCCAGTATTTCAAAAGCGGAAAATATTTAGTTGGTTTAAATAACATTTGGATTCTAACGTCGATAGAGATTTGTGCGATTACAGCAGGTTAACATTAGATTCTCACATCTTATCCGAGAATTAAAGTTTTCATTAATAGTTTAGGTATTTATTTCCGTGGTTACTGGCAGAAAACAGTACCTAAAACCTGTTAATAACGTGATTTGTGAGATACAGCAGTTCATTGTCAGACTTGTAGACCATTTTTACTTAGGGTTTGATATCAAGGGATAATGAGTTTTTATTAAATAACAGATCCTAGTGGTGTCGAGATTTGTAAGATTACAGCAAATTATAGCTAGTTTCATTAACTGATACCCGCAGTTAGTTAATTTGGGAATTATTCAGTGGGTTTTTATTTTATTAACCGAAATAATTTTTAGTTTGGTTATAGTTAATGAAAACACTGGTGTCGGCTAGATTAGTGCGATTACAGTAACGGGTCATCAGTATTAACCGGGTTTCATTTCTTTTTTTATATTAGCGTGAGGTTTGTCTGATTTGACTTGGTTTTTAATTTATTTTCGGCCTTAGTGGTCACACAATGAGTGCGATTACAGCAATATTAAGTAGTTCACTCGCGACAGTCGTACATAAAAATATCGCTTAATGGTGAATACCAATAGTTCGAGATTCTCAATGCTAATCAATTTTATTTTTGTAAGAGACTGTACAAAACACATGTAAGCTTATATATATATGGATTTTAATAAAATCCATCCGGCAACCTCATAAATATAGGAATGGTTTGCTATAGAAATTTGTGACTTCCTCATATTAATTTTAAGGGTTTGTTTTGGTTCAAACAGAACGGCTGATTCCAGATCTCAAATACAGTGGACGAATTAATTTTTCAAGAAAACGTCGCGAGGTTATAACATCCTCTTAGCTGATCGAGTGACTTTAGTACAACGCGTTGATTGCAGCGTATGCAACGTTGCCAAGTTGTAATAATTTTACGCAACTACGCGTTGATTGCTTTAAAAATATTTTTATTTTAAAAATCTATATCTTTTTACTAAGACGGTCAAAAAATTCAGCGTTCCTTTAGAAAATTTTATAACTTCTTGATTTACATTACATTAGTTTTTAAAAAATATGGAAAGAACCGTTTTCGAGACATCTTGAAATAAATGCATTACTTGTGTACATGAGAGGATTCAAGAGTGTTAATTATGCACATTTTTATTGTTAATATCTCTTTTCAAAGACGGTCAAAAAATTTAATTTTTTTAGTTACATAAAAGACACTTTCATTAACCTTATATTTCAATTTTATTGAATTCTTAAGAAAAGCCGTTTTACGAGTGAACTACCTTAAGACTTACCTTAACGAAATTGATAATTAACTTCTTTCACTTGGTATAGTTGGCACATTTATTAAGTTATTTATTTTCCCCGATCGATTTGATATATTTTTTTGTTACTGTTTGATTTAGATCACTTCCGTGACGCTATATTTTTTTCTCTTCGGATCGGTGGTTTTCACAGGGTTGAGCTTTGGAATATTTAAATTTACTTGTTAATAGTTTTGATAAGCAATATATGTATTCATTTTACCTGATTGGCTGTATAATTGTTGTTATTTAACCGTGTATCGACACTATTTAAAATTATTTAACTCAACTTCCATGAATGCCTAGTCGTATCAATAACGATCAAAGCCTGATATTTATACTTTCTTAACGATTAAAAACAAAGTGACCTTTTGAATGTTCCGTTATCTTCATCGAAAGCTCCCCGAGCTCTTTCGCAAGCAAGAACACACCAAAAAAGAAATCCACCAATCTCAGTTTATATTTTGGTCACCCGTCTAGTTATTTAGATTAAATCTGTGACTTGGTTCTATAAGGGCCAATCTCAGAATTATATAATTTAAGTAAAGAGCGTTTAAAGTATTTATGAAAATTGAGTCGATTAACGATGTTATAAAGTGAATGTTGGTAGTAGCACTGATGCAAATTCTCGTTGTACATGTAAAGCACTGGTTAATTTTAGATGTTCTCATGTACATCTTTTATTTATAAAATCTTGAATATTTACAAATTCCTGACTGGCCCTTTTAGGACCAAGTTACAGAAACATACGTAAAAATGAGTTATTTGATAATTAATAGCATTACTATTTTTATTTCTCCACATTTAGAAATAAATTTTAAATTTTAATCAAACTGTATGAAATTAATTTAATTACGAGTATTAAAACTAAAATCGCATTTTTTTTTATAAATTTTTAAAAACACTTATTAACTATAACTTAAAGCATTTTAGTTTTTAAAATATCTTTGCTTATACTTTTCAGAGTGCTGTGAGAAACTTACTCTACCTCAGAAATAAAACGAACTTCTTCAAGCCATACAAAACAAAGCCTAATATTGATGATATGTACATGTATATCGGCGGTTTATTAGTGAAGCACTATTGCCAGGCTCAAATAAATAGTATAATCTTAAAATTTCCGAACTTAATTGTAGCCTCAGGACTTAATATCTCCAGTGGGAGCGGGAAAGCTATTTGTCCTACCATTGCTCTAATTAACCATGCGTGTTCCCCAAATGCCACTATAATGTAAGTAGTTAAAAAAAACACAATTGAAAGTTTTTTTTTTAATTCTATTACTAAAAACAAATATTTTTAGTATATACTCTAATTACCTTGTCGTGAAAAGTATTAAATCTATCAGAAAAGGAGAAGAAATAACAGTGTGTTACACCGAAGTCAATGCGTTTTTTAGCGTAGCGGAACGAAGACTAATCACAGAACAATTATTGTATTTCACTTGTAGGTGTGCATTTTGCTTGTTCGAAGAAAATTCGGTATGTAATTTTCTTTATATTATCCATTTACTGTTTATTTATCGCATGGCCAGCTGATAATATTTTTCGGTTAGTTTCAGTGTGCAGAAAATAGCTATTTCTGTATTAAGTGCGGCTTTGTCTTTCGCTCGAATTGCTCCAGATTTTTTTCTATGATCACATTATTTTAATCGGTATATTTAAAAAAAAAATCATGAAAAACGAATTAATATTCAGTCAATATAAAATTGATAGTAAAACAAAAATAGCTACAGTTTATTTAATATTTAAAACATTTAATGATTTGATAATAAAATAGTTTACATTTTGATTTACAGTTTTTTTTTATTTAATAAGTGAGTGAACACTTGTCTGTGCATTATCTTTCTTTTAATTATATAATAAGTATTATGAGAAAAAAAATAATTATTGGAATAAAAATAAAATTTGAACATAGATGAATAAACAAAAATTTTGTGCGAGATATTAATTGTATGATGCTTATTTTTTTAAGAATAAGCTGCCAGATTTTTTTAAAAGTGTGTTCAATCAATCTGCACCTAATATAAATAATAACATGAATGATTGTGGAGATTCAAAAATTATTTCTTTAAGAACTCTATCAGAAGATGATATATTTAATAAACTCAAGTCAAAACAAACATCTGCTTATGATAATATTCCAAGTTTCATAGTTAAGGATTGTGCTGGTGCGTTCAGTAAACCTCTTGAAAAACTATTTAATATTTCTCTCAAACCGAAGGTATTCCCGGATTTATGGAAATATTCCAAAATATGTCCAGTTCACAAATGTGGACCAATTAATGCAATTACAAATTACCGTCCAGTGATTATACTTTCTAACTTTGCGAAAGTATTTGAGATGTTTGTTTATAATAGAATATTTCCGTTGGTCAGACCAAGTATCATTTCACAACAGCACGGATTTATATCAAAGAGGTTGAATGTCACCAACTTAATGTGTTTCACTCAGAGAGTACATACAATATATACAGACTTCTCAAAGGCCTTCGTTAGGTTAGATCATAGTATTCTTTTGCAGAAATTATATAATCTTGGTTTCGATTCTCATATCCTCGACCTTTTTCAAGTCATATTTAACTGCTCGCTTACTCTATCTTGAATATAACGGTCACAAATCAAACTTTTTTGTTGCTACCAGTGGAGAGCCTCAAGGAAGCAATCTAGCTCCATTATTATTTTCACTTTTTATTAATGACATATCCAAAGAGTTTGAGGAGTATTTAATATTTGCCGATGATTTTATTTGTACCATAAATTCAAAAAAAGATTGTATAGACAAAATGATTTAGATAAATTAAATAATTGGTATATTACTAATAAATTGCCTCTTAACATTCAAAAATGCAAGTTCATGAGATATTCAAACAAACGCTTTAATAACACTTGAGGAAGTGGATACAATAATGGATTTGGGAGTCGAATTTGATAAGAAGTTTTTTACTTCATTTATTTAACATTACAGCCACAGCTAAGAGAATGCTTGGGCTCATTTTGAGAAGTTGCAAGGATTTCAGAAATATAGACTGTCTAATTGTACCAGGCTTCGCCGCTACCAGAAAATTTCACTCCATACCTGGCTACGCCGACCGGCATAAACACCAACGGCCTGGACACAGCTCACCTACTCTGTCAAAAGGAGACCGATGTACAAATAAAGCGCGTACATCTGATGTACTGCTAGTCACTGTCAAAAATTTTAAGTCAAAGTACCAACTTAATTCTTTAAAATCAACTTCACCCACTTATTGATAGTCATTGTCATTAATGGCCGGACAAAGAACAAAAAATAATATATTTTCAACATTGTCCACTTATTGTTGGTCGATATTGTTAATGACCGGACAAAGATGCAAACAAAAAATATCAACATTGTCCACGATTAATGGGCATTTTCGTTACTGCCCAGATAATAACGATATTGGCCAGCAAATATGGCTGCTGACGTTAGTGTCCGGTCAATATCATCAATGCCCAATTTACAATACTGCCCATAACATATACATATACTTTTTTATTGTATGTCTCCTCTAATTGAGGTTTAACCTGTTTGGACAATAAAGTATTTTTTTTATATTGCATCTGACGTACTTATATCTTCCAGAAAGCCGTATTGATGTTTACTTAGAATATTATTATTAACCTTGATGAAATAAATGAGACGGTTTTTAGACATTTTTCTACAATTTTTCCAAAATTATTTATTAAACTGACTGGTCTATAATTTGATATTTTATTTTTATTACCTGCTTTATAAATAGGTCATATAACAGAGGTTTTAAACTTGTCTGGGAATTTCCTAGTACTAAAAATTAGATTATATAAGTAAGGGGAGATATTATATTTTTGCATTTAATTTTGATATTGATAACTACATACTTAGAAATCTGGGAATAAAGTTATTATTTCAAACCATCGAAGAATCTCGATTATATCCTGTATTTCCAAAATAATGGAAGCAATATTAATAGATGATATATTTATGACTTTTGTACGTTATATTGTTCCTAGCACAATGGATTTTTCAAACAATTACCAATCTTACTGAGTATGAGCAGTTTATTTTATCTTTTACATATCATATCACAAATTTAAAAGGTTTGGTCCGTCTGAGCCTTCTCATTAGAAATTGGTTGACCAGGAACTGTAGAACTATAATATTGACGAGGACATGCAGTCTTTTTTCATGTTATTCTTCTTCGACTGTAGACATTATCAGATCTCTGTGAAGTTCCTTACATACCAAGGGGCGTTTATTATTGCCCTTAATATTTTGTTCCGTAAAGGTTATATTATATTTACGTTATTTTTCCTGGCACACCCCCAGACCTGTATGCCGTAAGTCCCTACTGGTTTTAGTACTTGTTTATATATTAAAAGTTTATTTTCGAATGAAAGTTGATTTTCTATTCATCAACCAGCATAATTTTCTATATTTAAAACCCAACTCTTACCGATTTTTCCTTTATGTGTTCTTTCCACTTTAATTTTATATCTAGGTTCATGCCTAAGTATTTCTCCGATTTAGAATATAGTATTCTAGTATTATTTAATATTACTGGTGGTATTATACTAATATTTTATTAGTGAAGTTAACCAGTAGCCCTATTCTTGCCAACTCGCAAATTTCAAGGTCACTCGTAAAGTCTGACATTACGAACGAAATAGCAAATTGTGTATTTTTGATTATACGCTACACATTCGAGTACTCGCATAAAACTGCGAGTGGGTATTATCATTCGCAAACTACTTGCGTATGCGTTTAATGAATTAACTTGTGTCATATGTGTTTAGTTTTTAATTTAAAAGATTTTTTTTAAATGTATACTCGTATTAGACTTACTAAAAACCTTGCGATTATACCATGGTGTGCAGAGACATAATTCGTTCCATAATATTAATTCATTTTATATTTTAAATGATTATCAGTTTGTGCAAACATTTAGAATTTCAAAGGAATTGTGTCAATTTTTAATAAATACACTATCGCCCTATATGAGACCTCAGATTAAATATAAATTAACATATTTCATTTATTTGGTTAATAGGAGGTTTCTGATTTTGTAGGTTTTAGTAGCTTTAGTGTTTTTTGTGCCAGAAAACTATAACATGGACATTGGTAATAGTTTATTGGTATCAGTTTCCCGGACGTCAGCATATTCATTCCCTGAACAAATAGCAGTGCTTTAAATGAACCAGATTATTTTTAACAAAGTTAACATTTTCCAAGAAATTTTAAAGAGCTAAATGCAGTCAGGTATAGAAAACTGTCATTCCATGATACAAAATATTAGTATCATGCTGTCATTCAGCGTGTCATTTTAATATAATTGTAACGTTGCCAAATTGAAAATGTAGAACCTTCGCAAGCAATTGCGAAGGGGTTTCAAGAATCTCATTTTAGGGAAGCATGCGTAAATGAACCCTTCGCAAGGTTGAGTATACGGGTATTTGCGAAGGATGTCAAGAATAGCGCTGCTGAACTGTTTACGATGAAGTTTTTTGGTCGATTTTTCTATGGTTTTACCAGTGGCAAGTGTGGCTACTTTCACATTTTGCATTTGTGGTATATCCTAGGTAAACAATAGGTATATTATTCTTTTACTCGGAAAATTCTATCAGTTAAGTAGGATTTTAAGATGTCAGTTCACGAAAAACGTCAATTATTGCGGTGAGGTTTCGAGGCACATGAGCCTACTTTGAATAGTGATTGAAAAAAAAAATAATTTAAACTGTTTAGTTTTATGAGGCGAATCTACCGCAAATGAAAAACATTTCTTAGTTTCATATATTTTGGCAACAGTGTTCACTAAGTTAACATAAATTTACAATTTCGTTGCTAAGTAACATAACCATCACAAAACACTCTTTCTGATTACCTTAAATGTTTAAAAACGTCAAAAAAGTACACAGGGTATTATTTTGCCTCGGGTGTTAAATAAAAAGTGAATGGATAATGGATATCTAGTCTGATAAATAGCATTGATACTATAAACGTTGTGAACTTCTTTTTTTTTTAGATAGAAGCGCCATATAAGTGTCCGTTTTGTGAAAACGGTAATGCGAAACAACTTGAAAATTCAAATACAAAACATTTAGGAATGTGCACTAAATGTTTAAAGACTTTTCCGTTAGATGCACTAATGAAACACATAAAACGAGCTGCCAAATACAAAAGTGCCTGTAAGCAATTTTCTATTTAAAATTTCTTGATTTGTTAAAATTGAGAATTGTATATTTATTTTTATTATAGATATAGCTAATAATAATTTATATTGGCATTATTTTAAAAAAATGTATTTTGCACAACAGATTCATATTCTTTTAACATTTTTTTTTTTTTTCAGATAATAAAACAAATTCTTTGGAAACGCTTAAAAAACTGGAAGCGTGCTACAAACAAATATTTCCTCTAAATTCTTTACATCTTCTTGATATCTATAGATTAATATACGAAAAGCATCTTGGATTACAAGGTAATAGAAAAAACATGCTACAATGCCATCAGTTCAAGTTATAACTATTTTTTTTTTATTTCTAGATAAACCAATTGAAATTCTAAAATATGGTATATTAATATTTCATATATTAGAGAATGGACTTTGTACTTTATACATTCCTCTTCTTTCTGCGAAAGTAATGTTTATGTACAAAATGGTTGACATGAAAAGATTCATGGACATTAAGCATGTGACTCAGGAAGAATTGTAAGTTGTGAGGATAAATATTCGAAAATATTTGTTCAGAAAGAAAAATGCTATATGTATTATAACTTTTTTATTTAACTTTTTTTAAAAATTAGGCAAGTCAAACCACTGATAACTAATTCGTTGACCGTAATCATAAGTGTATTCTAAACATTTCTTTGTCCTAAAAAAAATAATCAGAATCTTATAAATTTAAAGAAAATATATTCAGTTGTGACTTACGGAAAGTATGTATATTTCAGACATCCAGTAATAGGAAACTCTTCTCTATAACATTGAGTACCTAAGGCAGTAAAATATAACTGTCCGACTTGTTTGGAGGTTTTAGTATTTACCGATTTTAGGCATGTACGAAATTCTTCGTCGCAATTACAGTGCAACCTAAAAATAGTATAAAGTCAAGAGGATATCGATATTTATTAATACGAGTTACGCGCCCTCTCTTTCCTATTCTAAGGGAAAAACACTTTACATAGTATGCAGTAAAAGCAATCTCAAACACTATAATTAAACACATTTTGTGTTATGTATCCGTTTTTTCTTTTTTTTTTTATTTTATTTTCCATTCAGTTTCTTTTTAATTTTCTTTTCTTTTTTTTTTTTCTGAAGCGTGGCGGCACTGCAGTCCTTAGCATTATTGTTCCACCATTTGAAAGGTCCTACTGCCATACCCATTCACTCACTCATTCACAGGTATTCATTCCACGTCTTAGATCGTTAAACGCTAGTCCCATGATGGACCTTCCCAGCGGTTACCCATCCACGACGTAACCAGAGTACTGACTACTTACATCTTTCAAAAACTTGGATACACATTAATCTCTTAGCCCTATCGTTAAAAATCTAAAAAACGAAAGGTTTTCAATACCTTGTGAAAAAGTTTGGATTTGTTAAATTGTATTTCGTTTGGTAACCATCTATTACATCTGGACAGTAATCGTGGTTCCTACAGCATTTGTCGGTGTCTCTTTCTGTACCAAAGTCATCGTCATTTTCGGCTATATTACCAGCCCCGCACCATTTTGTTCCTAAAAATAAAATAAAACTCACTATTTTATGTAGATAAATTGAACAACTTAAATATTTTCTGTGGAGAGTTTTATAACCACCTATACACCACAAATTCCTTTCTATCTCGGACTGTAGGTCAAACCAATCTAATGTTTTCGTTACATAACAATAAACCACAGTCCCAAGTTCCATTACACTAAGCGGGTCCGTTTTTTGTAGTAGATATCCTTTTCATGAATTTAAGAGTTATTGCTCCGCTGAGAATAATAAGAAATTTGTATTAATAATAGGCTTTCTGGTTTAATTCTAGAAGACACAATTTTAAAGATACATTTTTTTATGTGCAAAGATAATAAGTGGCACTAGCCCTGTGTGTTAGCATACTTTTTTGAAAAAATTGCCCGTTTTGCCAAAAAAAAAAAAAAAAGAAAGAATAAAGTTTATTAAATTAAAAAAAAAATAGAGAATTAACATTATCAAACGTGTATTATTCTTTAAACGATTACTATCAAGTTGTAGTAAATCTTTTTCTTAACAAGATCAAAAAATAATTTTTAAAATTAGACGTAATATAAAGCCGTAATTTTTAAATTAGCAAAGTAATTTCGGATATAAAAATTGAAAAATATGACTACAATATCCCCTTCCAAAACGTTCCGTTTTCGTACCGAGGATCGGCGATATTGTCTTCCTCGTCTACCTAGTATTGAAATTTGTCCAGATACGGAATAAGGGTACATATAGGATAGATTTAAAATTTAGTATTGCTCGATGGTGCGAAGTGTGAAATTTTATTACATGAGATAATTTTGTTTTTAATATAGAATTTGCAATGTTTCAATATATTTAAAAAATAATTTGATTAGAAAAAAAAAATAGGTTAAAGAATTATATTTATATAACGGGTATATATTTTCTAAAATAATTCATTGTTTAAAGAATATCAACTAAAATAAAATCTATAAATCAGCCTTGTAAATAATGTATTTAACAAATATTTCATAAATATATTAATTTACATGTTTTCTGACTTCCAAGTTTTTCTTGATTTTGTTGCTGTCTGCTGTTGTAGTGATCTGATAATTTGAAGACTATAATTTTTTGCAGAAATATTGTCTTCTTTTCAACTTAGAATAAATAAAGAAAGATTTTTAATTTTATACAAATATATAAAATATATTCAATTACATTATTTAATGTATAATATATAGAAGTAGTATTTTGCAATTTTTACAATACTTACGAATGCTTTTATTCGTAACTTATGCTATAAGTTCAAGAGAATAAAATTGATAATTATTTCTGTCTGCACTCGTTGAAACTCAAAATGATCTTATATAATTAATTTAAGTAAATAAAATCGTTGTTTTATTACTCTCCGGCTTTGATTGATCAGCACTTTATGATGCTGCCGTTGAATGATGTAATCATATTTTGTTGTTGCCAACTTTGATATACCTATATTACATGATACAAAAAATTACAGAGGTATGAAACTTAGCCGACGAAATTTCGTCGAGTTCGCGCATGACGTATTGTGGTGTGGAATATGGATGATTGGCCATGAGCTGATTAAAATTTATTTTCGCGCGCTGTTTTCGTTATCTCAAATTCGTAAAATCCACGCCTTCCACCACAATATGTCGCCGTGATGTAGTATCAATCGGCGTAATATTATATCTTCTTTTTAAAGTATCATGGATATATTTCAACTTTTTTCTTTTTGACTTCAATGATCTTATAAACAGACTGGGATGAGGTATACAAATTCTTCTCAGTTAATATCTCAAATTCCTGCAAGGTTATGGGTTTTCGCTTTTAAAATAACTGAATAATATAAAAGGACGAAGTGGCGTGATATTTTATGAACCCTGTACATCGGATATTTTTTTATTTTTAGATATGTTGTAATTGTATCAGAAATTTTAAAATAATTTAATTTTGTTTTTATAAAGAGTAGGGCGTTTGACTAAACAGTTTTACAACGTATACGGGGTTAGATATAAGAAATATATTTTAAATGATCGTTATTATTAACTAAATTAGATTACAAATAAATTAGACACAAAAGTACCTGTAAATAAATATAGGTATTAGAGTGTTTTAATAGAACCTAGATTAAAATGAAAAATATTAAATAAAAAACTTTTAGAATAAAAACACTAAAAGTTTTTATCAATTATTCTCGGCCTTAAATAGCGGTTTTTTTGTAGATACATTTTGAAGCAATGGGCACAGTAACTACTATAACAGTAGTTACCACATCAAATGTAGTTCAGTAATATTACGTTTAATGTTATTTCACTTTTTTGAAGTAATTATTTTTGTTTTATATTTTTTTTATAGCTTCTAAAATATAATCAGGTTCTCTTAATGACATTCCCTCATCATGCCTTGGATTTACCAATTCAGGTAGCATATAGTATAGATAAAACTTTTTTAACTTCTCCATATTTTTACAATCTTCTCAGTATTAAACTATTTACTGAACAACCAAATTGTGGTGCATGATTATTTAGGTCCATTAGTTGTTGCATAAAGAACTGAATATCAATAATATTACGATTTTCTAGATTTATTTTGGTGTACTTATTGACTAAAATTTGTCATGTTTTCAAAATCACGATTACCTGCTCGTTATAGTCTGCCTGAAAATAATAATTCTTAATATCAAAATTTATTCATTATCCAATGTATAAAAAATGTTAAATGATATATCTGACAGTTGTACCTTTGAATTGGAGTCCAATATATTCTCAAGATTTATAAAAGGTATTTTTTGAGATTCTTCCTAAAATAGCGTAAAAAATAATTATTGAATATGTAGAAGATTTAATACTATGTAGGTACATTTTAAATACATTATTAAGATTGAGTAAAAAAGCCAAAAATACTTATTTCTAGTTGGAGAGCTCCCTTAAATTTTTAATTTATTTTTATTAATTATTATAGCGGCCACAGAAATACACATTCTGTGGAAATTTCAACTTTATCTACTTATTACGAATCATGAGATACAGCCAACTGACAGACAGACGGGCGGCCAGCGGAGTAATAGGGTCCCGTTGGTTACCCTTTGGGTACGGAACCCTAAAAAGGACTATTGAAATTCGGTAAACTTAAAAAATGAGACATCGCGGGTTGAAAAAAAAATTCTACATGAATTGAAAAAATAAAAACTAAACGGAGTTACCTAACCTGTGCGGCCTGGAGCCATCGCGGGTTAATCATCTCTAGAAATTTGGTAGTACAACTAGACGGTAGAATTATAGCTACCTGAAGTCCCGTAGTATAACTCCCCAGACAGCACACCAAATCCCAGAGATATCTTTTGTGGATATCCAGTATATCCACAGGATATCAAAAATATTCCGTGGATCTAATATGGATATCCAAATGTCCGTCTATATCCAGAATATAGAAGATATATGGATATCCAGCAAAATATCTAATGAGTATCTTCCAGACAATACAAGAAATCCCAGAGATATCCACAGAATATATTCTGTGGATATCCAATATGGATATCCAACCAAATGTCCGTCTATATCCCAGGATATAGAAGAATTCGGATATTCAGCAAAATCTTTTATAGGTATCTTTAGTAGAGGTTCATAAGTAACCAATGATTATTGAATAAAGTCGAACGAAAATAGCAGAGATAAAAAATATTTTCAACACTCAAAATATTTTCAACACTCTGCCTTTGATTTTGCCCACTAAGAAGAAAGTTATCCTTATTAGGACTCTTCAGCAATAAATGGAAATTCTCAACTCCAGTCTCTAATGGAGTCTGATTGTGAAACAAATTTCGATCGAACTCAATTACGGCGGGTTGAGCATGAGTAGATGCGAAAGTAGTATCGCCATCTATACTTAGTAAACAAAATCACAAATTACATCTAGTGGATATCCACGATGGTTTGCGTTCGCGCCTAGACTTTGATATATTTAGTGGATGTCCATGGGATATTGAATACACCTTAAAAAAATTAATTTTAAATATCTGAACGGTACTATTAGCCACAATGGCGTAATTTTTTAATAATTTGCTATATAATTACTATTATTTATGGACATTTGCATGTCTATAAATTACAGCTCATAGATATAAAATAGATATCCACCATGGACTGGACATTCAGTGGATATTGGGATGTTTAGTAGATATCCAAAGGATTTGGTGTGCTGTCTGGGTCGTTCCCGATAAAAAAAGGTTGAGAGTTATGTGTTTCGGCTTATCCATAATATAGATTAATACGATTCTTTTCCTTAAACTTTATATTATTTTATCAATGTTAATATGCATTTTATAGTTTTATAAAACAATTATTTTTTTGCTTGAATTTTTTTTGAACAGAGAAGTTTGAATTATAATTTCAAGGTATTTTTAAAAATTTAAAAATAATTTTTCATAAAGAGAAATAAAACCGGTTTGATAGTTATGAATATTTTAAATACATAAATGATTAGTTGAGTAAATTAAATAACTTTTATGTACTGGTTAAAACGGGTAATAGAGTATAGAGTGTAGAAAAATGAGTTATTCGTAGGCCAAGATTGTAGGTTTTATCTTTAAGTATGAATCCAATTGTTTTTAAATTTCGTGAGGATGAAGCTCCATAATTTCATTAATTTTTCTGAAAATACCGTAATTAAGGGTTTAGAAAAAATATAACAGTTAAACAGAAAAACTAAGGATATACAGGGTGGCTCACGCTCAACGGGACGGAGCTTTATGGGAAAACGACCAAAGATATAAAAAATTCGTTTGGGAGGAATACGTAGGTTACAGACGGCTACAATTTAAAATTTGTTAGATGTATACAGGATGTCCCACATAAGAAAAAAAAAATTAGTTCATTAAAAATTATTCAAACAAGAATAAACAATTCATTTCTGGGAATAAATCGAAAACTAATAATAATAGTGAACCTTTAGTTAACTGACATTATTTTTGATGTAGTTTTTAATTCTAAAATAAAAAACAGGGTGTTCCATTAAAAATAATATAACTTTGTATATTTTCTCTTATGTGGGACATCCTGTATACATCTAACAAATTTTAAATTGTAGCCGTCTGTAACCTACGTATTCCTCCCAAACGAATTTTTTATATCTTTGGTCGTTTTCCCATAAAGCTCCGTCCCGTTGAGCGTGAGCCACCCTGTATACTTATTTTTTTGGTTTTGAATAATAATTGCCTTTATATTTATTTGTTCTCTAAGCTTACCTTATCTGAACCAATATTTACAAAATTTTCAATCCTTGTATTTAATTTTGAATAATGGCCTGCATTATAAGGAAATTCTTCACGATCTTTAATAAAAAAAAAATATAATATTAAAGAATATTATACTTACTAAAATGTGTCAAACTTTCATAGTCAATTCTGATTTAAAATAAATGTGAATGACATAATATGTAAACTGTTATGAATGTTTCTTACCTAAAATTGACTTTGTTTCATTCTCTTAACAGATATACTATAATACCCAAATAACAAAGTTATAACTTCCACCTCACCTCACTATAATAATAATAATAATAATAATAATAATAATACTCTCCCTAATTCACCCCCTTACGAGTGAATTTCAACCCCTGAAGTCGACTGAACGACTTGTGTAGGGGAAGGGACGGCTATTATTATTATTTGCCGTGGCGCTCCGGGGCGACTTAAGAATGATTGATGGTGCCATTTGACTTACAGGTGAGGAAAACCCGGAAAACCTCACCCACCATCATCGAGACGATAATGTATGGCGATTTTATAATCTGCATGTCATATCAATAGAAATTGAATTTCTATTAATACGGCACACATCAAATCCTAAACGGAACCATGCAATTTAATTAAAAATCCACATGGTTTGGTCTGGGATTCGAAGCCCAGCAATCTCGGACTCATAAACTTGCCTATAAATGAATATAAGCGCGTTAGACCGCTACACCATCGACCCCTACTATTTCAAATTCACTAAAAACTTTCTCTTTTGGGCACAAAATTTTACTAAATACATTCAAATCGTTAATCCACATAAATAACTAAATAAATCTACTAAGGCATTTCCTACGATATAGGAAATGCGGCTCGACAACTGGTTCCTGAAAATTTGAAGGTAGGGGTATAATAGGAGGACTATGCCAACAAATTAGTTCTCATGAACGGAGCAATAACTCTTAAGAATTTCAACGAATGAGTCCGACATCTATTATTAGTTCAATTACAAAAATTAAAATAAATAAGATCGACTTGGAACTGTCTACCTGCAGTAGCAACAGCACACAAATATATATATATTTAAATCATCCGGCGTTTTAACAAATTACACAGCAATTGATTTTTCTTACCTGGAAATATAAAAAACCAATTTGGCATACTCATTTTGTTTTGAAATCTAAATGAATCAGAACCTACATTATTTAAATCAGGTTCGGCTGAATTGTCCCATGTTATTTCCAAAGCAACTGAAGTATAAAAAACGCAATATATAACGACATATTCTAATTTCTGCATGACGATATGTTTTTAAAAGTATAATGTTTAAAATCAATTTATATTTGTGCATAAGTATTCCGAAAAATTTGCATATCGAATTTGTTTCGCTAATTCGCTAACAAATAGGGTAAATTTGATAAAGAAAATTCGGGTATTTAAAATCGGTCTATAAATTGTACATGCCAAAAGTAAACCCAGATAAAATACTGATAAACAAATATGTTACATGTTCTTGAACATTTATGCTAATATACAATAGATTTCTTTACTATTATATACAGTGTCTACTTAAGTTGGCTGCATATTATAAATTTTATGGGGAAACTATTATTTATAAAAGTATCTATGATCCTACAGAATATCAATAAATAAAACTTTTATCATATGCATATCCTGTACAGGAGAAAAACCAGAACCAGATATAAACCTAAGAGAAAATGATCATTACTGGACAAATCTCAAAATCAGCTCATGGGAAAGGAATACTATGTTTAAAAAGAACAGGAGAATTACTTTCTATGAATATGAACCAGTTGAGAATAATTACAGGACTTTAAGACTAATAATGCAGCAAAATACAAAGATTTGCCTGTCTTGGAATAACGAGGACAATGAAAGCAATAATAGGCTTGCCGCAGCTTCATTTTTTGATACAAGGGAGGCAAGATTAGGTGGCCAGATCACATAACTATTACAAGGTTAGTGACAGGGAACATGCTAGATATGAGAACAGAACATATAATCAAGGGTTACTTCTTCCAGCGCTCAATTCGAGGTTTTAATACGAAATAGAACGGATATCACCATAGGGGAGCACATTGCCTGACAACAGGAACAAACCTGGTATACAGACAGGTCTAAGACTGCCGAATGCACTGGAGCAGGAGTATTCTCCAAAAATCATACCATCAATTTTAGCTATGCAATAGGAAAAAATGCTAAGAACAATCAATAGGGGAGCCACCGAAAACCAACAGATTGGCAGGCAGAAATAGAGTAAAACTATTTTGGGTGCTTGGTCATCAAGGAATTGGGGGCAATGAAAAGGCTAACGCTCTTGCAAAAAGAGGACCAGAAGAAAAACCAGAACCAAATATAAATATTGGAGTACCAGAAAGTACAGTAGATATGAACTTCATAAAATACTAGTCTTGGAGAAAGGGAGATTGTCCCAAATCAAGCACGTGGGAAAATATTCATAAGAAGGCTATGTTCAAAAATAACAGAACTACTTTCTATGAATAGGAACCAGTTGAAACCACTAACAAGACTCATGACGGCATGCCCCAGTAAAGGTACTCCTAAATAAAATAGGCGTGTACCATATATACATATTGTGTCGACTATGTCACGAGGAACCAGAAACAGCCAAACATTGGATTGCAAAACGAAGCCCTTGATACAGGGCATATAGAACACCCTCGGTCAAAGACATACAAACCTGTACAAAAAATACAGGTGGCAGAGTGTATGAACTATAATGTGGCAAAACACAATAAACCATTGGGCTGCAGTGTAATGGGAGAGATCAGCTCAGGCAAAAAAAAACATGTAGCAGTAAAGGGACCCAAGAAAATAGCCGTGTAAAATAGGTTCCTATTTTGTGTCGATTATGTCACTAGAAACCATAAAAATAAAGTATGATATTATGATGTGGTATCAGCTGATCGAAAACAGCGCGCGAGAATAAATTTTAATCATGGATAGCCATATTCCGCACCACAATACGTAGTACGCGAACTCGACGAATTTTGGTTAAGTACCATACCTCTGACATCGACCATTAACAAGACTATGTGGTCTTGTGACGTTGGCTTCGTCGCTGTTCATACGGTTCATAATAGAGATGGCCAACGGAAATTCGTCGGCAAAATTAAGTTCAGAGATCAAAGACCCCAATCAAAGTGACCTAACTACTTATTTTATTAATGATGCCTCTGAAATTTACTGTATTATGACTAGAAACCAGATATAGCCAAACTTATAGGTCACCTGCACATATCCTATAAATAAAATACACAATAAAATGTAACAAACTTGCATTGCCAAGCTTTATTTAAAAATAGTGTGAATTAACTATATTCGATTTGTTTGAGGATTTTTTGCTTAAGACAAATTTATTATTCTTGCTGGTAATTTTGTGTTTTTAAAGTGTGTAATAAATTTAGAAAAAATATTTTAAATCTAAATATATTTTTTTTTCTAGCGATGTAGCCAAACAATTTACCACGGAGGTAGTGAAACTTAAAAAAGATCTTTTATTTTACCTTCCCGAAGAAAGATTGCAATATTATACATACATTCAAACCAAAGTACATTCTTTTTTTCAAGGGATTACATGTCCGTAGGTTGTAAAAACCTATAAAAATATTTTATTTGTATAATATTTAAAAAATTTATTTTTTATAATAATCGTTAAATGTTATGAAAATCTTAATTGATATTTTGATATTGTTCTTGTTCTGCTAGTAGGTTTTGTAGATGTTTAATAGTTTGTAATAAAATGTCTTTATGAAAATAATTGCTTTTTTTTTGAGAACGTTGAAATAGTAGTTTGTGTTCATATGATGGCCATATCGCACGAAGACGGTAGACTTCTGAGTGCGATACGAGTAGCCTTACAGTATATTTTTTCTACGACCCTCTAAAGAAAACCAAGAAAATTTTAAAAAAGAATTTAGATCTTTTTAAGATAAAGTAACTATTTTAAAAATAACGGTTTTAAATTTATAAATTTTACTAATATACAAAATAAATACGCAAACAAAAAATTGACATCGGCCGGAATGTAAACGGAAATGTTTTACTCGAATTGTTAATGCTAACAACTTATACATTTTTATGACTTAAAATTTATAATTTAATCGTTTTTTTTTTTTGTGAATATAAAAAAATATTCAGTTTATTGCCTTTATTTATCGATTCTTTACAAGAATCACTTATTTTTAATTCTATTTATTTTTAACAATGGGCCATGTTCAGATGTCAGATATGCTGTTTTATAAATTATATTGTAATAGTCACTATACAAATTATTCTAAAGAATCCGGTTGATAAAAAAATACCAAAAAGTTTTTAAAGTAAAACCATTTAAAATTAGCTTATCGCGACTTTTTTCTGCATCTATAAATTAGAAGTATATATATATGTTCATTTATTCTGCATAATAAAAAAATTTAATAATATTTATCTCGAGAAACGGTCATAAAATATATGAATATGCAATTCCCGCAAAAAAGCATTTTAGTCGGATATCAATCGAGTGACGTCACTATGATTTTGTTTTTATTATAACTGTAACGATTTCCTTTTCCTGTTGGATTTTTTAATCCCCAAGAGACTCATCCTTCCGTAAAGGATTGTTTTTTAGTTTTGATGGTGGTATCTTGCCAAATTGTTTCTGCATGACCAGTATTAACTCATATTTTTAATTAAATTGCATGGTTCGTTATAACATTTTATGCATGCCGTGTTAATAGAAATTCGGTTTCTGTTAATTTGACATGTAGTTTATAAAATCGCCATGCGTTACCGTCTCAATGATGGTGGGTGAGGTTTTTCTTACCTGTAAGTCAAATGGCACCATCAATCATGTTTAAGTCGCCCCGGAGAGCCACGGCAAATAATAATAATAATAATAGCCGTCCCTTCCCCTAAACAAGTCGTTCAGTCAACTTCAAGGGTTGAAATTCACTCGTAGGGGTTGAATTAGGGAGAGTATTACATGTTTGCTCCAATATGGCGACGCCCCAGAGGTATGGCGTTTTGCAATCTTTGTTCTACAGTTCATTATTAACAAAAATCACGAAACAATAGCGTGGGGCCCATGATCCATGTCCACAGTGGAAAAATTACATGTTTCGGTAAGTATGGCGGACCTTAAGTATCCATATATTTTTTTAAAAATTTTTATTTTTTTCTGGTAGTTAATAAACTCTCTGGGTGTCAGTGTCCTATTTTTATGTTTAATTTCTCTTAAGTAATAGACAACCCGGTAACGTATTTTTAAAATAATAGTAAATTGATTTGAAAACCAAAGCAATCGAGAAACTTTATTTATTAGGCATCGCGCAGATGATGGACAGAATGCACGGTATTCTTTTAAACGTGCAAAGATGAATTTAGTTATTCGCGTACCTTTTAACATGATTAATTTTTTCATCGAGATGATGGAATAATAAAATCCAATGGAACCAGGAGGTGAATAGTTACTAGCTAACCCCTTCAGTTTGGACTAAAGATTCGTTTTAACAAGCAACATTTTAGTAGATCCTCTCGTTATCACTGCATAAGTGGAGCGATGCACATTTTTCTGTAATAAACTTATCTAATCTTCCCAATGAAGTATTAATATCAATGATTTTCGTATTAAGATTAAAAATTGTCATTTTGGATCCTAATTTAATTGATGTCTTTGTGTGAAAACAAAAGTGTAAAACTGTGATTTTAAAAATGAAGAAATGTATTATGGCGTTAATAATTGTAAAACTGTTTTTAGCGAGTGAGTTTTAAAATTAAATTATTATTATTTTTATCTATGATAAATAAAAAAAAAATATTTCTATTTAGGAACATTATTATTATCAGTGTCTTGTTATAGATAAATCACGTAGGTAGGCAATTCTAAATAATTTCGTTTGGAATAATAGGCTGAACAAAATATATTAAACATCATTTTAAAAATGAACTCATCGGAAAAATGTATCCTCTCTCATACGTTAAGTTTTTCTTCTTCTTTTCGCGAACCCTATTCAACGTTTTTCTGTTTATGAGTCTCTATTTCCCACTATTAACTCTGCCCGCTTGACTCAACCTTCTTATATGCACACAAATAACCACTCGAATGTTCAAAAGCGATTCAGCAAGAATCTAGAAATCTCCAATGATCCAGTAATTTCATAGCGGGCTTCCATCCTTCGTCAGTAACGTCATATAACCTATGTATGTGTTATTTTGTTTCGTCATTGGTGTAGGAATGGCTCGCTTTTTATGCATATTTCTACATTTTTTTAGTACTGGTTCAGAAATGTGTAACACAAGAAGCGTCCAGTACCGATCAGTAATCTTCAACACTACCCACAACCATAAATATACCTGTACTGTATCTAGATGGAAATAACATAACATGGAACCCAAGTTCAGCGCAGGAAGTACAAATAGAGTGCGATCTTGGTTACAAAATAACCGCAACGATAGTTGAATGTAAAATTGACGGGGTTAATCAAGGATATGCCAGAATTTTATCAGGTAGGTACTCAACAAGTTATGTCCTTCACGTAGGAATTCAACTTAAAACAACCACTCCTCAAAGTGTTCCTTTCATATTTTCTTCTTCAGCTATTATTTTTGGATAATTATATGAAACAATGTTTGTCTGGTGATCGTACAATAGTGACTAGTATTCTATGCTATAAACGTGTTAAATTGTATTTATATTTCGCTTATTATCTTTTGAGAACTGAAGGTTTTTATATTATGTTGAAATAAAAAGTGTTGACAGACTTCAAAGTACAACGTTCATGTGATAAAGTGTTGAGTAAAAGAATTGACAGTTTGGTGTTATTAATATTATTTATAAGAAAATAGAGAACGAAATAAAGTATGTTTTATCATAAATATAAATTGGAAAGAGGAGCGGTGCAAGAACATAGTTGCGGTACACCTATTGTAAGATAACGATTCACGTAATCTATCATCAAATAATTATATTCTTAATCTACGATTAGATATAGCTTAAAAGCTAAAATTTTATCGTAATGCCCATTCAAATAATTTTGTTAATTTTTAGGTCGAGAAACTGAAAATTTAATGTTTACTTACAATGTAACTAACAAACCATCTTATTTTTTTAATACGAATAAGTTGAACGCTACCTTCAGTGGTACAGGCACAATGACTGTGATTTTCGCCAGAGTTGGTAAGTCTAAAAATTTATTTTTATAATTATTATTGACGACTATTTTGGACAACTTTTGTTCGTTATTTTAAACGAACGTCACCCTAAATAGTATTCAGCTTGTTTTCATCTTTATTCTTCTCCAACTTCATGCATCTTCTGCGTATTTAGTAATGTTATCTAATCGATCTAACCTAATATTATTATAATATTAATTTACAGCATATCCAACGTACAAATTCCACAAATAGTTTTGTGCTCTTAAAGATATCCAACTTGCGCTTTATGCGTGGAAGTGACATTTTCCGTATACCAGTTAACCTAACTTAAGATCCTACGTCTCTATGAAGCGGATACAAATTAAACAATGAGCACTTCAAAATTATGTGGGATAGATTATCATCAAAATATATTACTGACGGAATATCTCAATGTCTCCAAGAACATATAAATAGTTGAGTCAAATGACAAATTGTCCTGATTGCTGTTTGTACGGCTCTATTTCTTGTGTTCCTTTTGATCTTCAGATATGCCGTGAAAAATTGATAAGAAGAGTAGAGTAGAAATCTAGTCCAGTTAATTGTTTGTTAATCATCTCATTAACAATTAGGTATGTCAGTGCTAAAAAACAAAGTTGAACGAATTAACAAACTCCCGATTATTTGACACCAGAAAATATATCTTTCTCTGTCTAAGCCTCAGACAGCGGTGCAAACATACATTAATTATATAAACAATATCTCAGTTTTAATAACCCAAATACTATTTCTTTCTATGGATACGTCAAATTAGTAATGCAAATATGTTAATAAATTCTGTGTAATTTTTTGTAATGTCACTAAACTTTACTGGGTTATTCATAATATATTCAGAATTTTCAAGATTTTAATGAATGAAAATATAAATTTTTCATCCTCAAATTTTGATAAATTATTATTTAAATTATTTTCTCTTTCTTCCCTTTGCTCACTTCGATTTTTACAGCCATAAGCTGAACACACTATCATTATAATCGATAGAGGCTGTTAACCGAAAAGTTAGTGGTCTCGCCCCACGTTGGGCGCCAAATATCCCAGATAATATCTAGAATTCAAACTATCCAACTAAAAACAGGACCGGTCTCCGAGTATTTGTACGGTATTTAGGAAACATAACAAGGAACGTTTAAACATAAAAATAATAATAACACTTTCCGTAAGAAAGTTCAAAATTCCAAATGACACCCACGCCTTCTCTGGCACAAAAAAATGGCTACCGAAAGAAATACGAGTTACGAATCCCCTCTCTTTCCGTCAAATCATTTTTGTAACAAGTTTGACATCTCCGGGCCAAAAATTAAACAAATAAATACAAAATACTCGACGATTCACTGTTGGATTCTAATTAACAGTGCTGTTCCTAAAGTGGCGCTTGGAAAACAGTAACAAAGCATACACAGAACACGATGCTAATAACCTTAGTAGTTGATGCCGATGACACCAAAATAAAAACACTATTTACATATTTTCTTTATGTTTCTGTAGGTAGTAACGAATTTCATTTGATTTTGTTTCTTTTTGTAGCTGACAAACCCTCATACCAGTTTGAAGACAGGATAAGTCAAATTTCTCTGCCTCCTCATTATCTCCAAGAAACACCAGCACTTTTTGAAAGCACATATTCAATGTTTAATCCTGCAGTGGGTTCCACTAACCCCGGTTTCGAACGTAAGTAAAATACAATTTTATTGCTAACTTATATCGACTGTTGACCGAGTTTAGTATCAAGACAGAATAAAGTAGAGACGACCACAAACACTATTTTGCGATATGACAGATGGACACACTTGAGTGACGGAAAAGTGTAATGAAAATGGCGACTTGAGTTGTACTTTGATTTATTTGAAGTCAATAATTTTATATTTGAAGAGTGAATGAAAATGATTTTCTTATTTAAATGAAGCTATTTTAAAAAATGTCATTTATTCTCACCAAAACTGACTAGCTCCACTATCTCGAGTTTAACATATGACGTAAAAGTGTAATGCAAAGGTGCAGACACTTTAGCATCGCCATAGCATCTCCTCCTTATTCTATATCAATGGCTAAAATTCGCTTTCTTTTACAACCTGGGTAGCTCAGGTAAGAATATAATTTCTGTTTATCAAAGTTGTAAAAATTAAGCATCTATTACTTGAATATTGAAGTAGAGACGTATCAATAATGTGCATGGTAGGTCGTCCTAACTTATTTGCTTATCCAAGCCATTCTGAGCGAAATTTTCACATTATTTCTTAACGGAAGTCAAATCTCAAGTCCTTTTAACGTCCGTAAACGGAAGCTACATCTACAATTCGTTTGCAAATGTCGTAAATATAAAAGGTTTGTATTATTTGCCAAGGGAATTCATTAAAATTAAACAACTCGATATCATAAAAGCCAGCAACAGTTTTTTATAGATTCAATCGGATTTATTCATTAAATTAATTTTTCCAAAATTATGTAGGAAAATTATGAAAATTAACGTTTCTACCTAGAATTGCAACCGCATAAACATACCAATACGATTTACTTAAATATACAAATTTTAAAATATGATAAATTGACACAGGCAAATATGCCAGTTGCCAAATAATTTTTTTAAAAATTGAATAACAGAAATTTAAAAGATCTTAATATAATAAAGCGATTTTATAAAAAAATATTAATTTAATAATTGCTTTGTTTTAGGTTATGAAGCCAATTTTGAAGATAATTAAAATGATGACTTAAGAGTCAGAATCAAGTATTATAGAAGAGTCGGGTGCATAATCAATATTCTAAAGTGACGCATTTCATTTTTATATTACCTCTAGATATATGTAATTTGCAATTATTATATTTTTCGTTTGAGTATTTTTTTTTAAATAAACTATTTGTTTTATGGGCGTATGTTTATGTAATACTTGCAAGCACTACATATATCTTGTCAACCTATGATACCCTTTTACGTAGCAGCACTAAAGGCAAAAGATTAAGCTTATCTCGTTGGCAACTTCAGTTTCCAAGTATCAAATATTGATATGTTATTAATTAAAACATTTTACCTTTTTTATATAACCATGACGTCATCTATTAACCTGTTACAGTTGGTATTATAACACAAAATTGTGATCTATTAAAAAATATTTCGAATAAAAATTGGGTGGAAAATTTTTATTTTTAATTAATATTCTAAATACTTTTTGGTTGGATGCGCCATACTTGATATATTTGGTAAATTTACTGGTAAGTCGTATTGGACCCATCGGATATTTTCGGTGATATTTCTTTCAATGTTTCATCGAATTTATCAGTAAAATACTTTTGGAGAATAAAATGAAATACAAAACTAAAAAAAATAAGCTTATTTTTAATAAACGACAAAAACACTAAACTAATTAACAAACATATTTTAATATCTTAAAAACAATTAGTGCTAAATAAGATATCCAAATTAACGAATTTAACATTAACTAAACATACAAACAATTCAGTTAAACTTATGAAAAATATGGAGAATTTATTAAGTTTTTAGGACTCTAAATCACAGCATGTAAATTTGACAAAATACCGCCAATTAATACAACAATAGGGTATAAAATTTCAAAGCTTAGAACTACTTTAATATATTTTTTTTAATAACAAAGCTTGCTACTAAAGCAGATATAAAAACTAACAACTATAAAAGTTATGGATGGATTTACATTAAACAAACGAAATGAAAGACATGAACATCATAAATATAGAGAGGTGACCTCACAAAACTATAAAATATTTGAATAGGGAAAAGGAAAATGAAAAGACGGAGATATCTAGGAAAAAAGATTAAAACATGACACCAAAAGGATAAGGCAAAAATGGAGATAACTTGGAATACAGCAATACGAATCCTAAATTATAACCTACTTCTAATTTCTAATGCAAATTAACTGGTAGACAAAACAGTGCATTAAATCAACATTTTCTTATAAAAACTAATCACAGCATCTTCCTTTCGACAGTGGAACTACCGCTGTCACTCCTCTTCACCTGCCAATAACTATCAATGCTTTGGCCTTGAGTAATACTTCTCAAGAAATCTTCATCGTGAGTAATGATCAACAGCTGGAAATGGGACTGGTTTTCTCTACTGTTAATAAGACCGGATAGCGCGTCGCTCAAACTCGAAATATTGGCCCTGTCTAAATTGGTCGTTGGTTCGTCTAAAGCCAAGATACCGCAATTGGAACTGAACGTTTCAGCTAGAGCCATACGGATAACCAAGCAAGCAAGTACCTTGAGATAAATAGAAAAATATATAACACACACACTGATTTTTTTCCTATACTTCAGATCCCCCATAGGTACATAATCAAGAAAGACATTGTTTATAAAATTTCTAGTGCCAACATAAGTTCATGATCTAAGCATCCTTGGCAGAAATGCAATATTATGATTGAACATTGATGCTATGTTTAGATCAAGTAACCAGTAAATGTCCGACTGATGTAATCCTGATTTTTAATATTTCTTAAGAACGACTGACAATTGACTTTTAAGAATTTCGAAATCTCTACAGAAAATGAACTAATAAATACGAAATTTATGAGTATTTTGATTTTTATTCAGAAACAACATCAAACTTGATTTTTCTATCTATTAATTTAGGGATATGTCACTTGATCTATTAGTCCACCAACACATGAATATTATAATCAGATGGATGATTCATCCAAAACTTGTTGATGGATAAAAGAAATGTTCTGATGAATATTGGGAGGCATCAATGAATATTACCAAATGCTTTATTACTGCAATATACATTCATGCGAATCTTCAAAATTATAGGAAGAAATTGTATGCCTGAAAACAGGGCAACAGTTGTATACACAATACTAGTACCAATATGATTCAGCAGTGTTTTGTATGTAAAAAAACTATATACCAAAAATAAATTAAAATACTAAAGGTCAGTTGCAACGTTAGTCTTTAAGAAATAAACAAAGCTTATTAGAAAAAAAAATAAATAAATTACACATATAAAGCACAAAAATGAATTTCCCTCGTAATGTAAAATTCTATGAACTTACTTTTTGTCCAGCACTACATCTTCCGCGCATGTCCAATTCTATACCGTTTTTAACTTGAACCACTTTATAGGAATATTTGCGTTTGTTAGCTCCTCCATCTATAGAATCATCAGTTTTGATTTCAATATAATCGATATCGTTTCCCCTAGAAAAGAAAATTACTTTTACTATAAAACAATAAATATCTGCAAAAAAAAACTATAAAAAGAAAATAGCAGAGGGTTAATGTAATAGTGTCTTGGATACCTTAGGGAATAATATAGGGGTGCCACAGGGTCCGCTATTGTTTTTAATTTATATTGACAAGTTATTATGTAGGTATAAATGGTAAATAATTTTTATTGAAAAATAATATAAAAAAAGGAACAGTAGACATCGAGATGCAGAACAGGAATCAGAAGGAGGGAAAGCAAGAGTCAGACGAGAACAGTGAAAGGAGGCAGAACAGGAGTCAGAGAGGGAAGACAAAGCAGAAGTTGGAGGTAGTGAACAAGCCATAAAAGGGAACAGCAAAAAAGAGAAAAAGGGACCAAAAGATTTCTTTTTAACTTATAAGATATAAATTGTTATTTTTTTATTTTTAGCCATAGGTTATTGGAATAGTTTGATTCTTCCGAGGGTGGAATATGTAAAAAATAAAAATAATTTACTTGTAAATGGTCCTCCATAAATTTCTGACCATGCGATTAATTTGCACCATTCTTTCTTCGTGGAACTTGAGCACGGAACGTTCCAATACTTTCACGTACTTATCCAAATCCGCAATGCAAAGATTTTTAGCGATCAATTCGTAATGTTGTTTCTTATAATTTTTATAAGCATTCTTATTCTCCGGTTTATCTAATTCGTATTCCAATTCATCATGCTGTGCTTGAACCTCTTCCAGTTGCCCTTGCAGTATGTTAATCTCTCTAAGCTTCTTGTCGATTTCAGTACTCTTCTTTGTCTTCTCCTCGAACACCTGTCGGTAGTTGTAATCGCCGATTTTGAGTTTCAGATTATCTATTTCGACCGCAACGGCGTCTTCTTGCCTACGCTTTTCTCTCAGAGTAACGTTGTCTTTTAGAGCTCTAAATTCGCTTTCCTTCTTAGCGATGGCTTCTTTCTTTTCGGAAATCGCTGATTGAATTTTGGTTTTATTTTTCTCGAGATTTTCCAGAGTAATGGTCAATTGCGCTAGCTCCTCCATCGCTTTTTCGAATTTAGCACCATTGTTCTTTCTTTGGTAGTCTTGAATGTTCATTTCTAATTTGTGTATGTCAGACAAAGCGTTTTGGTAGGAAATCAATTTATTTTGGACCTTATCCAAATGTTCGCGGTTGGTTTTCGTGGCTTTGTTCTTTTTATCAACGGCTTCGCGTAAATCGTTTTCTAACGAAGCTAAATTCAATTGGAGATCTTCTATCTCCGTATTTAACGCGTCAATTTGTTCTTTGTATTCGGCGTTTTGTTTTTCGAGCAGCGGTTTTTCTTGAACGAGTTTTTGGATGTCGATTTGCTTTTGAACTTCTGTTTGGATTTTTTTGTTAAGGTCTTGACACCTTTCTCTGTGCCCGTCTAACAAATCTTTGCTGGAATCGTACCTGCAATACAATTTTTGGGATAAATTAAATTCGTTTCAACTCATTTATTACCTGTTTTTTGTGTTGCTGAGCTCTCTCTTGACGGAATCTATCTCCATCTCTGTTTCTTGATGTGAACGTTTCGACGACACTTTTTCAATAGTCTCTTGCAACTCTTCGATATTGTCATTAGCTTTGGCTATGTCCGTTTGATATTTATCGAACAGAGTAGCATCTCTGATCAGGTTTTTGCAAATCTCTATCATCATTTTGGGTCGCTCAAGATTTGCTTTCTCGGCTGGAATAGGATTAATATTTGGATTGAAGGGTATTTTATTGATTATACAGCATTGGGTCCGATTTTCCGTAATTTACAAGAGTTTAAATTCTGTGTCAAGAAATGTTCCTGTAGGAATATAAGGCTTGCAGAACTGGAATCATCAAAAGAAGTCTTATGTAAATACTTAAGACTTCCCACAGGAAAATTTCTCGACACCAGAGTTGAAAATTCCGTGAATTTTCGAGAAACTACTATGTCGATCCTACTACGACTGTGCCAATTAAGTTTATTAAACTCGAAATTACATTTTTAAAAAACAAAAATTCACTATTTTTAATATTAACTGTGTTACAAACAAAACTGAAATAAATAAAAATTTGTTTAGAATTCTTATATAACTAATATCAATTCGTATGACATTCTCTAAAAATGTATCTCTTACCTGTAATTACCATATTTGTTTCTTCATGCTGTTCCGTCAGATTACTGATTTCTTGTTCCAATTTGGGAATTTTGGTCTTCGACATCGTTGCGATATCATCATTTACGATTTTAAGTTGCTGCAAGTTATTATAAAGCACTTCAACTTTCTTAAATTCGTTTTCCGTTTGAGCCAGCTGTCCCGGAACCAATACTACCCTGTGTTTTAATTCTTCGATTATAGCGGGTAGGGCCGAAGTGTTATTCGAGAAACTCGTTTGGCAAACGGGGCAAGATTTTTCAGATTCAAATTTACTCGCCAAATTTTCGAACACTATCTTAGCTGCAGATAAATAACCTTTTCTCTTTTGAACAGATTCTTTTTTTTTGTAGGTTTCGTCCAAGAAGGATGTGAAGTCGGTTCCGTTGCAGAGTTTATCGATTTTTCGTTTGTTATTTGCTAACTCTGGATAAAATAGAAACAGAAGCTGTAGATGAGACAATATACTAAACAAGAAAAATAAAACAACCACAATTATTATAATAAAGCAAGGGCAACTAGTTTCGGTCATATTTGACTATCAACAGACATAAAAGAAAACGCTAAGAAAAATATTACTACAACGTACATCAAGAGCTATTATATGAACTTCATTGTGCTAGAACGACCGTCCCAGTTATGTGTAAGAAATATGCCAATAAGTAGAGACATACAAACAGAAAATTTTTAAACCGAGTACGCATATGAGCAAGAATCTTAATGAGGCAACTAGAGAACGAACCATTTTCCCTTAACATATAGGAAAACAAAAAAATAGGTTCCCAAATACAACATCGATCCATCGAATTTGGCGATCATTCTTTTTTCAGTCACTAGTTGTAAATATGACCGATTTTAGAAATGTATGTAAAAACGAGAAAGATGGTTGTCTGTAGTAGTCGACGCCGATGACACCAAATTAAAAAAAAAAACATAAGAAGACAAATGAATCAAAATAGCACAGGTTCATTAAAAGATTTCATGATCGATAAAAAGATGGAGTCTTTCAAAACTTTAACTAGGATGTTTGTAGATTTCATTTTTCTTTAAATTGTCTAAAACCAAGATCAGACAAGACACGTCTTACAGTAAAGCTATTCCATCAGAAGAAATACTAGTACCAACCCTTCGGTTTGCAATACTATTTCAAAACTGAAATAGTACTTATATTTTTGTTTTAGTCCAGACTGCGCAAACATCGAGACGAATGCATACAGATTCAAGCCTCGTTCAGAAGTACACATACAATTTCCTCATTCGCGTCCGTGCTCATATGAGTACACAGTTTAACATTAATTATAACATTTTTCAAACTTCGCAGCAAGTACCAAATGAATATTTCCGTTCTTCACATCCCAGGAGAGTGCGGATTTTGCCCCATATGGAGATGCTTCCGTATTTGGCAATGGCCAGACAGAATGCCTGTGATCAGGTGCAGATTCCGTCTAATCATAGTCAAAGTATTTGTTTACTGTAGAATAACTTAAAAGCTCCCTGGCAACTTTGCAGCTTCTTATTTCATCCCATATTTTCTTGAATATCACAAGGGAACATTCTTTAATTAGGTTTGCCATTACCGATGTTGTCAATCCAATTGCAGTGCCAAATCCAAAAAAATATTTGGCTAGTGAATCAACAAAACAGTTACCTTTCCCTGTGGCGTGACCATATTGTTGATGGATATTTCAGCCAAAGCTAGTGGCATTCTAATACTATCCCTAAGTAAATTCGCGGTCTGTCCAGGGTGAGTAATGCTTGTCTGCTTTCCGTATAGATAAGCATGTTACTTCCAGTGATAGTAGTACTATTAATGCAGTACGAAATGTGGATATAGAACTTTAATTGTTTCAAGTTTAGAAAACACCAGGTATTTACACTTGTTGATATTAAGTCTAACTAATTGACCTGATACCAATCATGTAATTTATGAAGATCATTTTGAACTTTAATAAAATCTTGGAGATCGTTAACAGCAGAATAGAGTCTAAAGTCGTCTGCAAATAGTAAACATTTTCAGTTAACAAATACTTTGGTAATATCATTGTTAAATTATTAAATAACAAAGGAACTAAATGGCTTCCTTGAGGTACACCAAAGGAAACTTGAATTTGTTTAAATATATTGCCATTAATATTTACTACTTGCGACCTATTAAATAATTTAATTAAATTTATTTAAAGTTTGTATGCAGTTGTATGTCTAAACATTATTTAAGAAAAGCATGTAGTAAAAATATAAACCCTACCTTGCTGATCGGTTTTCAATTTGTTCTTCTGGTGATTCAAAGTCGTTTGCAATGTTGTCAATTCCCTTTCCAAATTACTGATGTTCTGAGTCAATCTATTAAATTCAGCATCTTGTTTCTTTTGAATATCGACGACTGCCCTTTCTAAATTCTTCTTGGGTACATCATCGTTAAAGAGCATTTTCAAATTATCAGAATGTCTCGATTTTATTTTATTGATCTGTCCTTGCATTTCGACAATCGATGCTCTTTCTGATTCTAATTTTTGTTCTGTTACGTAATTACGTTGAAGTATCCTGTATTCTTTGTCTAATTTATCGAGATATTGTTCCTTGGTGCCTATTTGTTCCTTCAATGTATCAATTTCCTGCAATGTTTCATGTTCATCAAAGGAATTTTTTATGCTAGAAAGAGTCTGTTGCCACTTTTGGATTTTGTCAGTAACAGCTTTCAATTGAGTATCAGAAGTATCCAATTCCTGTAATTTTCCTTGTATATCTCTCAGTTTGCTTTTATAGTCGCTTATCGCAGTTTTTTTCGATGAAATAGATTGTTTGGTTCCGGCATTTTGCTCCCTAATTTTATCGATTTGATCTTGCAAAAGCTTCTCTTCTACGTCCTTTTCACGTTTTAAATCGGCTAACTTCTTCTGTTCGTCTTTTAAAGACTTAGACAGTTCTCCAATTAGATACTCCTTATCGTCGTTAGTTGGAATGTCTAGTTCCACTCTTAATTTTTCTATCAGATTTTGACTTTCTTGCAACTTGGAGTTATGGTTGTTTTGTTCTTCTTTCAGTTGGCCTATTTTAACTTGTTTATTCTGTACTGTTCTGTTTAAGGTTCCGATTTGAATTGTGGTGTCTTGGACGTTTTTTTCTAGTTTTCTAATAGACGATTCTTCTGAAGTTTGTTCGTCTTTAAAGGAGTTGATTTTTGACTGGAGATCTTCGTCTGATCCTTCGAAAACGTAGGACATACTGCTAATTAGGGTGCTCTGTTGATTGGCCAGACCTAAAAAATAAATTTAATGATGTTGAATATAAATAGAAATTATTTATAAAGCACACCTTTCTTTTCTTCTTCTTTTCCAGTAAGCTTCCTCTGCAAGTTGCCCAATTTCTCCTCCAATTCCATAATTACATTCATACGAGCCGTCAGTGGTTCCATTTCCTTCTTTTTCGTTTTTATAGCCTCCTTGGTCTCTCCCAATTTGACTTTTCTTTCTTCGAATTTGGCTCGTTGATGTTCCACTCTGTTTTTGATCTCCTTTTTGCTATCTAAAACTCTATGTAAACTTTTAACGTCTATTTGCTGGGCCTTGATGTAATCTCTGATGTTTTTGATGCATCTATTGTATTTGGTGGCATCAAAAATTTCGTCGAACTTCTCTTTGAGTTTCTTAGGTTCGTCTAGGGGCCACAGCGAATTTTCTTGGTGACAGAAGAGAACATTGTTAAATATTGCTTTCGAAACATTGAGAGTATTGCAGCAGTAGCTGTCTATGTCAATACAACGTCCGGAGATATCTTGGACGTCGCCTGTGTCTTTGTCTCTTCTGCGTACTGCATAATTCAATCGCTTGAATGAAAGATTACCAGATTTTATGAGTTGCACTTGTACAACTTTAGCAACAGTAATCACATTTCCCTCAGTATCAGAGAATTTGATCTTAATACTGCCCTTTGTAGTTGATTTATTTGACATCTTTGGTTCATTCACAAAACCTTTTCCATGATCAGTACCTGTGAATAGGAATCATTATAGATTTAGAATAGATATATAATTCAGAGGAAATAAATATCATAATAAGACTCTCATTTTGCATACACACCAGTAGGTAATTCTCCTGTTAACGCATATCTAATACTTTCTATGATTGTGGTTTTTCCAGATCCATTTTGGCCTTGAAATAAAACAACGGGTGTGCCAAAGTATATAGTTTGTTTGTCTTCTGGACTGAAGTTTCTAATACCGATGATTTCCAAACTGCGTAGTAGAGCCATGGTTATAGGATGACTAAATTTTCTAGAATTAATGGAAACAAAACACTGAAAATAAATAAAAGTGATGACCGATGAACAAAAAGCGAATCGAGTGACAATTTGTCAGCAGTGGAAAAGGCAATTGCAACGTAACCCACAGTTTTTAAATAATGTGGTTACATGTGACGAAAGTTGGTTTTATCATTACGATCCTGAATTGAAGTCTCAACGTATGCAATGGAAGTATAAAGGCAGCCCAAGACCGCAGAAGGCCAAAACTGCTAAAAGCGCTGGTAAAGTGATGCACCTGATTTTTTTTGATAAATTTGGCGTTATTTACGATCACATTGTACCTAGAGGACATACAGTAACAGGGGAGTACTATTCTAATGTACTTCGAGGACCCTTAAAGACAAAATTAAAGAAAAAAGGCCGCTTTATCAGGACTTTGGCTGGACGCTGCATCACGACAATGCTCCGGCTCATAGATCAATGATTTGTCAACGAACCATTGAAGAATTAGGGGTTGAAATTATGGTTCATCCCCCCTACTCTCCTGACCTTGCTCCATGTGACTTCCATTTGTTTCCTGAAGTCAAAAAAGAATTGAGAGGTAGAAGATTTGAGTCTGATTTAGAGCTCAACAACGCTGTGATGGGTATACTAAACAGATAAGTGGATAAAGCGATGGGATAAGTGTATTCAACAGAATGGAGAGTACTTCGAAGGATAGTTGTTGAATTTTTTTAAATAAATGTTTCGTTGTTATACTATAGCACCAGTCTCGTTATTTTCTGATATATCCTCGTAGATAAATAAATAAAAACAAAGTAACAATACAACCAAGTACAATATAAAAATCTCATATATCAGCTAGGCAAACATATACTGTAGGTACTCATCTATTGAGTAGAAAACATTAACTGTTAATAGCTGCTTAAGTCTTTCTGGAAGCCTTGTATGGTTTGATTATTTTTTATGGTTGATGGCAGTTTGTTAAAGAGGTAAGAATCGGCGTAGTATGGTGATTTTTTTGTAGCTGGTATGGTAATGTTTTAAATATATATTTTCAGCATTTCTGGTATTATACCCGTGTATATCTTTTTCCATTGAGATTTCTTATTTTATTAAATGTAAAAGACAATAATTTATAGAGGTATAATGCAGTAACAGTAAGAATTTTATTATTTTTAAATATTTCTCGACAACTATCCATGTAACCCAAATTAAAAATTAACCGTAATATTTGTTTTTGGATCATAAATAGCAGTCCCCATAAGAAAGCACAACTTAACAAATTCCTGAATAATTCAGATTTCTTTAAAATCCCAACTCCACCAACATTCATAATGTCAAATAATCCTAGCCCCACCCACGATCTTGTATTATGTTCAAGAACATTTCAAAGAAACATTACCAAAGTTAATAATATTCCAGATCTATGCGCTGATCATCAATCTATAGAACTAACAGTAAATCTAGATGAAAAGCCATTAAATATTGAGCCACAACTAAGATGCATCTTTCAAAAATGTGATATGGTAAAAGTAAATGAAAACTTATACATAAATGAAAATTCTGAAGTTACCCCATCTAAAATATCAAATTTCATTGAACTTGTACAGAAAACAGTTTTATCAAACACACCAACGAAACCCCAATCCTATTTTAAATACGAACTTCCTCCATTTATTTTAAAACTTATCAAAACAAAACGAGCCCTCTTCAGAGAAATTAAAACAACTGAACATACCCTACTCAAAACCAAATTTAATTAAGACATACCAATGCCAGTTTCCCAGTATAAAAATCATAAATATGTGATGGCAAAAACACAAGGATATGACAGTATAACAAGGAACATTTTAAGGAAATTAGTGCTACAATCCACACACATATTTTTAAAATATATAATTATTGCATACAAAATGAATACTTTCCTCATGAATGGAAGAAAGGTGTCATCATTACTATACCAAAAGCAAACACTGATCATATAAAAGTTACAAATCATCGACTGATTACGCCACTACCAGTTTTAGGAAAAAACTAAGAAAAAATTATTAAAAACAAGTTAGTAACAGCTGTAGGAGAAAATATTTCAAAAACTCAATTTGGTTTCAAAAGCCAATGTTCAAGCATTCATCCACTAATAATTTTGACGTCAAATGAACAAACATCCCACCTAGAAGGAAAATCGTCGGCTGCAGTTTTTATGGACATAAGTAAAGCATTTGATAGTGTGTATCCAGTCTTACCGGCGCATGCGGGGCTCTGCGTCGGTCGATTTTTCTTTCGCTAGCTGTTCGTGGGATTTACATGGGCAAGAAATCTAAAGAAAAAAAAAATCCGGCGGGACCACCCCGCCCCCAAATCTGATCAAATGGAGCCTGTCATCCGAAGCGATCAACCTCCCTCAACCTCTCAAGTGGGACAACCTCAGCAGGGAAATGGGAGAACAAAAGAGGTGAAGGGAGAAGAGAAGAATCATCGCTCTATCTTCTTCATTCCCCTATCACCACTCATCGGCGAGGGAAGCTCCCCTTAAAAAAGAATCTAAGCGGAAGCTACCTTCCCTACCTCAACTGGAACAACCCGCAACCCGGTGGAAGGGACGACCCACTGAGACATGAACTCATGGCAGGAGTTCGGTGGTATCTTTGCTACCTCGGATCAGGGCATGACATCGGAAGAAGCGAAAAAGAAAGCTGTGGAGCACAAATCCCAGGGAGAGGGAATTAAAACCAACCCTAAATATCTGAAAAATAAGTCGGACGGGAATAACACCACACCATCGCAAAGGAAAAAGAAGTGGCCGATACCTCCACTTCTGGCAGTTATGCTACTGTCGTCAAGACGAAGCGGGTCGCGATCCTACCTAAGGGGTTCCCTGAGACCATGATCAGTGCGAATGAACAAACCCTGGTGGAAGAACCATAGTAGAAGAGATGTTCGCTAGATGGGAGCATCAGCTCCAATTCGGAGGCATCCACTTCCGGCCACAGTCAGCAGAATGGCTCGGGGCAAAAATCCCACACCTGAGCAACTGGAAGGGAGTGGAGTTGGAGGTATGTGCAGGAGACGACATCCCAAAAGCATATACCGCCATGCTCTTTCTCCCAAGAAGTCAAGGGCACTTTGTAGAGAAGCTTCTACAGTTAATAGAAGCGCATAATGTGGGGCTATCGACCACACTGTAAAAAATCGTCAGCCAGAAAGAGGAGGGCAAAGGAATAGTCCTAACCTATCAAAGGATCATGGATACACAATCCACTATCGATTCGAGAAAATCCCCGTACACGGTCTTCAAAAGAAAGAGAAAATAAAGGAACTGGGAGGAACAGAACCAACTCCTAGTACTTCCAAAGATGAGACTGATGTAGAGAACCCAGAGAGCCTTAACCTCTCAAATCTCTGCGTAGACTCCTCTGAAGATGTAGAAGTAGATGAAGAAGCAGAAAAGGGGGGTATGGAACACACCCTCACCGATGGGGACGGCACCCCCATTCAAGGAGAGTAAAATGGCGGGCATCGACTGTGGAGCCTCGGCTGTGATCTCGGACATTCACTAAAGATCAATTAGGGATCGTTCTGATCCAGGAACCGTGAGCCTACGGAAACCAGGTAAGGATGCAAGGGTAATTTATCACACTAGTTATGAAGTACCCAGAACATGCATAATGGTAAGAAATAATACTAAATATTCTCGTCTTTCAGAATTCATGACGCGTGATCTCGTCCCAATTCGAGCATACCTGGAATTAGGGATGAGGCGGCAAGACATAGTAATAGCTACTAGTTACTTGGCCGGAGATGGTCCTGTACCACCCCTGGAAGTATCGAGACTAGTGGAGTACTGCCAGAGAAGACATCTGCCATTACTTCTTGGATGCGACGCCAACGCGCACAGCACCGGATGGGGAAACAACGACACCAATTACAGAAGTGAGCAACTTTTAGAACATATTTTTAATAAGAATTGTATTGTGCAAAATATTGGGATTACTTCAACATTTGTAATAAGGTCAAGAAGTACACCGATCATTAAAGACCTAGTTACAAACTGGAGAGTATCAAGTGAACCATCTCTATGTGGTCACGAGATAATTGCGTTTACGTTAGAGAAACATTCCTCAGACGATCCTAAGAGGAATCATAGAAAAACAGACTGGGACAAATAAAACACCATTCTAAAGCAAAATTTAGCATGTATCCAGACAAAAAAGGGGCCCAGGCACCCACTTGCTCTGGAAAGCGATCTCGAAGAATTAAATGGGGCAATACTTGAGGCATATGAATCAAGCTGCCCCATTCAAAGAAATATAACTAGTAGGGACCAAGCACAGCGGAGATTGGTAGAGCTACATCAAGGCACTTACTACCTACAACAAAGAAATCGGGAAAGCTAAACGTAACAGATTCAGAAAATTCTGCGAGGATATTAACTCTACACCTGCAGCAGCGAGACTGCACAGGGCTTTGGAAAAAGGGAGAGTTGATACAGTTATGGCATTAAAGAAACCAAATGGAAGCTTCAGACGTCACGCTTTTTGACTTGCCTGTACGCTTTTTATGCAAATTCCACGCTTTTTAAAAGCCGCAGAGGAATCGGATTAATACAATACGAAAAATAAGCTGAGGACCTTTTTTTTATAGAAATGTTCACAAAAAATTGACCTGATTATATAAAGTGCTCTATCGTCACGGTTGCCACGCTTTTCACTTCCGGAAATGTGGCAACCCTACTTACGGTGCTATAGCCTGGAGTAACAGAACTAGTTTAGCTACTACGAGAGCTAATATCTCAAAAGTACAAAGACTAGCCTGTGTTTGCATCACCGGTGCAATGAGAACCTGCCGTACGGCCGCAATGGAGGTGATATTAGACCTCACTTCTCTACATTTAATGATAGAGTATGTGGCAAAAAGGATACGATATAGAATGATCTGGAATGGAGTAATCAGACGAAAGTTTACTTGCTTCAGGACCAAAGATACCTGGGATATGCCTCAGGATGAAATCATAAAGAAGTACAGTTTTGTGAAAAACCACACAGCCAACTCCTACACTTCCTTGAGAAGATAGGATTGGAAGCGTCGTTATAGGCATTGAGGCATTTCCTTGCTGCATTATCGACAGAAGGGGACACAATAGATCTTTTAGGTCTCAGTGTATTAACACCCCATTCCCAACATAACATAGTGTGTGGCACACAGGCCTAATGTGGAAACTATTTTCAGTCATTTGCCCTATCTATCTAATTAACATTATCAATAAATTCTTAACAAATCGCCAATTATGTGTTAAACACAATAATCACATCTCAAGATATTTCTTATTGGAGCAGGGAGTTCCACAAGGATCTTCATTTTTGTACAACTTTTTCTGCCATGATATATATTCTCACAATCTACCCTTAAATAACCACATTCAGTCTTCATACACCCTTCAGTTTGCTGATGACACTGCCCTTATATCTCACAAAAAATCTCGAAACAATGACATCAAAGAACTTCAAAGTTTATCCTTTTTTTATGAATAGAGAATCAATCCAAATCCTTCCAAAACTAAATTCATCATTTTTACCACACCTTAACAGATAATTCTCCAACCATAACCTTTCAAAATTAAACACTAAAACCTACTCAACATTGCAAATATCTAGGAATAGAATTAGATCACAAACTCAATGTCAAATATCATACCCAACAAATAAAAAAGAAAGCCTTCGCAAGAGCCAAGCACTTCAGAGCTTTAACTTATAAAAAAGAAGGAATCAATATCCAGGCAGCAAGGAATATATACCAAATGATATGTAGACCCCTCATCGAATAAATATGACTCAAAGGTGTTTGGCTTCTGTGATGAATGGGATAACTATGTTGTTTAGTACTAGTGGTCTTAGTCCTGTAAGTACTCGTTTTTTTGGGAATGGTACAACTTTTGTTTGTTGTGCGTTAATGGACAATTGTTCCTTTTTGCACCAGTTGTTCACTATGTTTAGAGCTGTTTGAGATCGCTCTGAGACTATGCCTGCAAATCGCCCCCTGACGATAATTGCTAGGTCCTCTGCGTATCCTAGGCACTGGTAGCCTTCTTTGGACAATATTTTGAGTAAGTCGTCCACAAGAACTGACCAAAGCATTGGAGATAATATTCCTCCTTGTGGGCAGTCCCATGTAACTTTTGCCTGTATAGTTGCCTTTCCTAGAGTGGTTGAGTCATTGTTGAAAGCTCCTTCGATATCTAAGAAAGTGGCTATTGCGATTTCTTTGTCATCTATTGACTTTGAAAGCAGCCTGTTTAGATCGTGCAGCGATAAAAATATATAATAATAAATTAATGTTTCACTTATTTACAAATCCATATACTTTTATTTAAACTAACATATATACTTTTTAATTACAAATTCTATTAAAAATTGTATTTTCAGTATACGCACAAATAGTCCATTAGTATATAAATGAATTGGCGCACGGAACGAATAACTAGGTATTTTATTTAAATTAAACAATATAAAACATGTATCATTCCCCATTTTTTAACCTCTAGGTACATTCTACTTTGTAAAGTAAGTAATAAAAAAACAAAAATAAAAACAAAATCGTTATGAATGATTCATTATTTATTCAATGGATCTGAAGTTTTAAAAATAAAATTATAAAGTTATCCAGATATTCCCGGACATTTTCATCATGTGAGCGGACACTGGACAAACCTTAAAAAATCTAACAATCTGGGTGAAAAGTGAAAACGGTACAGATGACATCCCTATATAACACACACAGTGGAAGTTATTTATTAGGTAATGAATGTTTAAATTTTATAAATCATTAATAAGCTGAGTTTGATTGAGATACATTCTAGCCAATTACCTAACTCTTCATAGAATAAGGTGACAATAATGTTACAGTAAGAGACATTTTTTATTGCTACATTAAAAAAATATCCTAAAAAGGTGGTAATTCAATTTAAAATCTTATAATATGCTACATATCCAAAACTACAATATTTGACAGGGGTAAAAAGGTAATGCTCAAAAGGTGCACATAATTTGAAATACTTTTTTTTAACATTATCAGCCAAACCATTGCAATTAAGATAGGTTTTTTATACTGATGTATTCGTATTATTTTGCAGAATACGCCTCTGGTTTAATCTCAAATGGACGTATCGTTTACAACCTTCTTCGATGGCGTGTCGATACGTAGATTTGAAGAATGTTTTTTTTGTAATTCCTTATAAATCTATTTACACTTAACGGCGATACTATCTTTATAGCCATTATAAATAATTAAAGTGGTTTAAGATTAAACTGTATAATTTCTGTTTATCAGTATTCATTATGGATTATGCAGGTTTTGAAAAACCTTTCTTTGAACTTGGTATAAGAAAACAAACGAAAAATATTAAAATAGTCAGTTTATTTTTTATTAATTTTACCTTAAGCACTTATTTGCAAACCAGTTAACATCACTTATCACTTACTATTTTTGTTAAAGTAAAAAATAGAGAAAAATGTATATAAAATTTATTTTTTCCCGCTAACCGGTTAACAAGAAGAGATGAATGACAGACCACAGGCCACAGACGCACAGACCAGACAAATGACAGACATCAAAACTTCAATATATTTTTTAGCGATACTCGTGGATTGATTTCAACTACGTTCCTTTGAGTTTCGTCATCAATTTTTAAATCTGATTTTTTTTTTAGGTTGTCGAAATCGTCTTATATTTTTTTTTTCGTGGAAAATGTCACACAACTGCAAGTTACAGTTCAGTGGAATATCAGGGACAGTGTTGCTAAAAGCCAAAAGTTCCAAAGCAAAGAACATTTTAACAATTTTTCATTGGTCAATGCATGGAGTGTGGCTTTCTTTAAAATAAGCAGCCAGCTACCATAACTATCCTTCCTCCATGAGCTACCACTCATGGAGGAAGGATTATTACTACCACTCTAGTCCAATGAACTCCAGTTCATTGCTCTAGTCTAGCTACAAGAGCTACTCAGCCACTGTCATGGAGGAAGGATGCCACGCCACTGTTTATAAAAGTAGAGCAGAAGACACACTAACAACTAAGTTATCCATATAAACTTAGAAGTGTCTAAACTTATTTCTAAAATAAATGGAAATCCAAAAAGATTCAGTTTTTCCAGAATGTACGGAAATTATACGGAATTTCAATGAGTTAGAAAAAAATACGTTGGCAAGTCAGAATATACGAAAATCATATTATACGGAGATTATACTCAAATCGGCAACACCGCTTATTTGACAATTTTGACGTTTTTAAATAGTGTACGTAAAAGTTGCATACGTACGTTGAATACTTTAAATGATAAGAAATAAAATTTCAACTAATTAAAATTTTCTAAAATATACTTACTACACACAATGAATATTTCTTTTCTATTTTTAGATGAGAGATAACACTCAGCGTTGATTGGTGGAAAAATATATTGGCAACACTGACAGATAAGCTCCACCCAGGGCTGGCTCCACCCAATTTTTATTTAACGACTGGCAGTGAGGGAGAGGAGGAGAGGGAGTCTCAGGATCAGGGGATAATATAATTTGACTTCTGTCAGTTTTTGTGAAGGAATAAAAATCAACAAATTTCCTGAAAGTTATGTCAAAATTGCTTATTTCTCTCGGTTATTATTTTCCTACCAGTGCAATACCAATACATCATATTTTATTTAACAAATGGTGAAAATGTTACGCAAAAGTATCCACCTCAGCTCGAGTACCTTGTATTTTCTGATAAGAAGTCTTATCAAGTGTTAGTGACAGCTGAGCTCTAACAATATGTTAATAAATATAAGGCGATTTTATTTACGAATTTTTCGTTAAAATTAAAATGCTTTCCTTTGATAGTTTTTTGTCCAATTTTATAATTAGTATAGTGCTCCTGACTACAACATGTTTATCCAAAGAAATAAAATATATGAGTTCCAAAGAAAAAATCCAACTAAGGTGAGTTTATAACATTACATGTGCATACCAAATACTTATTTTAATTATCATTGAAGGGAGGAAGCAAGAGATATGTTTTACCATGCATATAATGCTTATATGTATAATGCTTACCCTGCTGATGAGTTAATGCCATTGAGCTGTGCTGGTAGGTACAGAGGAGTTTCTCCAAATAGAGGAGATATAGATGATTCTTTAGGAAAGTAAGTAAAATATTAATTTTATTAACTTCTATTGACTGACAGTATGAATTCAAAATTCATGCTAATTTTTGTATAATTTATTCAATATTTTAACAAAACAAGGCACATTGAAAAATATTTTCCTTACCCACAATGTTTATTTTATGATTTTTTGATTATTGTTATTGCATTACAATAACGATATGACAAGGATTGCAACAGGAGGTCGAAATATTGTATTGTCTTTAAAATTGTTTTCACTACTTTTAATGTAAAGGATCGAGACATTTTAAAAAACCAACTAGATCACATAAGGTTTTGGGTCTTTAGACCTCACAGTGAAAATTATAAAAGCCATTTGCATATTAGGAATGTAAATTATTCTTGGTTATATCTTCTATCAACTAGGTATCTCATAGTTGATATTGATAACACATAATTATCTCCATTTGCATATTACAATAATAATTTTAATCTACTCTGTGAAAGTAGTTAAGTAAAAACCAATATTTGTTCATAGGAACTAGTTCAGATTAGGTATAATGTATTTTTTATTGTAATAATTTTGCTAATTAACTTTTTTAACATCTTGCATAGGTATCTGTATTGGTGCATTTGAATTAAAATGTTTATTTTCTGTTTATTTTGTCATGCCATTTTTGCAGTAATTTAAACAATTTAATCATTAATATTTACAAATATCAATACTAATATTACATTGTTGTCTAGCTAATAGTCTCATAAATAAATCTGTTTTTAAATAAATTGCAAAATCTGTTTCAAGGTAGTTCCATTAAGCACAAGTCAGCAGTTAAAAAAAAATAAACCTGATCAATCTGCTTAAAATAACAATTAAGTATTTCGTCAAGGTTATGGTCAATTTTCATTTATGATTAAATTTAGGACAATTTTTAGTAAAGTCTTGGTTCTTGGTGTTTGTTAAGGTTAAGTTTAGTAAACAAGCTTTTTAAATATTGTATTTAATTATTTAGTTAGATGCTTATTTAATACCTAGAGGAAAATGAGATTTAATAAATTTATGTAGAGAGTTATTTGGCAGATACTTAACACATAATTTATTTATTAGTGAATATATATCAAAGCTTCAGTAAATAAACAAATATATTACTACTAAAAGTTTTTTTTTAAATATAAAGAGAAATGTAATTTGCAATTTTTGTGAGGCAGTAAAAAATGTTATTCTGACTAGACAAGTAATTGTAATTTATTGATCCAGTTCAAGTTATTTCTTGAGCTCTCAATAGCGTACAACTTCTTCCATAATTTGTGCAGTAGAGAAGACCATTAACATTTTTTTGAAAAATTGAATTATTTTACCGATTCCTTTCAAATAATAACTAGGTATGAGCAAAGATTACTAAAAAGATACACTACATTCTGGCTCTAAAAGTATAGGTAGCTATGATCTCAGACATATAAATGAGAGTTGTCAAAGTGGTCCGTATACCTATAATTGTATTTCCTGTTGAATACTGTTTTTTTTATGAATTTTGAAAGGCTCCCAAAATTAATAAAAAAGAACCCTCCCCTAAATGAACAGACCTATTTTATACAACCATAAAAATTCAATAAACTCTGCACTAGAAAGTTAAATTAATAAATAATTATGTTTGAGATGTTTATTTTAGACCAATATCTTTGTGAATATTTTGTTCACATAAAGCACAACTCCACTTTTGCTAAAACCAGCCAGAATTATATCTTTGTCATACATTTTTACAATTCTTCTACCTGTCTGTTTGCAGGCAATTTTCAGTGCTAATCTGTCAGAAATGTAAAATGTGGATGGATTACATTCTACGTCATTCACATAAAATTTTTTAATTTTATTAATGAAAATAAGTCTTAACACCAAACAAATAAAATCACAGAGGTTTAATTAATTAATACTAGTTGACACATAGAGTGTAACAATATTAGAATTACCTAATGACAACATACTACTTAAATTATCAGCTGTCCCGTAGAATTATTTTAAATTGAAGTGTAGCTCTTTGATATAACTTTTATTTACTATTTTTAATATAGGTTTAGAGGGTAGCCAGTCATACAGATTTCTATTAAGTTCTTTAAAGTTCATGAGCTTAGAGGTAATTATTAAAATAGAAAAAAACATTCTATATGTAATTACAATAATTGTAATTTTCTTAGTTAATTCGTTTGAATTAATTTACTAATTACAGATAAATAGCATGGTTGGTACTCCCCACTCTGACTTCTTGCTACAATCCCTACTCTACCTAATTGTGCACATAATGGTCACTTTCTTAATTATTTACCTCCAGACGTACCTATACATTAATTTAACAATTTTTATATAGTCGATTATGCAGTATTTTTTTGCTGTTAGGTTGTTGTTCTTTGATATTCACTCAAAATAAAATTGGGATTAATACCTATCCATTTTTTGCCTTTGGTATGAAATTTAATCTATGGATTACTATCAAACTACAGTTTATGGAATTTTACTTTTATTACAGAAAAATACTTGAATATAGCTAATTTCAAAATTACTGAAATTTTGAATAAAAAGTGGGATAGTTGTTTGTTGATTTCTAATAAAAGTATTCTATAAAGGTGACTAAATTATGGCTAAATAAATTATTTTTATTAGATAATGAATTAAAGTGTGCATGTTGTACATTACCATCAAAATTATGATTTTTTTTAAATACAGTTTGTTGCAGTGAAGTATTACGTTAACATATGTATTATCTTAATGGCCTCTTATTTTTTTTATCAACTAAGTAAGTACTTTTTAAAAGTAATTATACAATTCTGTTATTAAAGAGACAAATTAGTTAAATTCCTATGATGTATCGCAGCTTCGGAATTTTATAGTTTTACTTAACGAAAATAAATTACTTAAAACAAAAATTTATAAATCGTAAAATATTTGAATATGGACTACTTCTCTTCATTGAATTTGACGTCTATTTATAAAATTCTTAATTCTAGGTTACTATAAATTAATCACTTAACAACTTAAAGTTTGACATATGTTTTACTGAGCACATCAACGTTTTCAGGATACTAGGTGTGCTATAATTTGGTAGAATACTTCAATAAGAGGTTAGATCAGTGTAGCGGAGACAACAAAGTCATTGGTCATAGAATTGCAGCCATCTGGTTGCAAGATGCAAACAATTTCAAGTACTTGTGATTCGTATTACGAAAATAATGTGAGAATGGGCTTACTATGAAGTATTTTAGCATTGTAACCACTGTTATTTAAATGTTTTCAAAAAAAAACTAGATCGATAAATTAATTAGTTTACGCTATTGCCTCTTATTGAAATTCGATATGTAGACAACTTATAGATCTGATCGAAGAAGAAACTTTTGAAAATGTTGTCCTTAGAGCAAGTAAAAGGAAAGTTACCAGAAGTGGACAATCCTGATTATAGAATATTAAAAAAAACTTTGTCAGCTCCGAGATAAAGGCTATAACTGTAATCTTGCAAAAATAAGATGAAAAAATTACCGTTTTGATGAAAAACGGTACTTTGTTCGATTTTTAGATTTTTAGAATCACGTGTATTTAAGGGGTTTAAAAAATCTAATATTCTGAAAGGATTTGTCAAAGGAAAAAATTGCGGAGAATATCAAAAACGGATACATTTTATACTACTCTAAGATGTTTAGAGTTCTCGTCTTAAAGTGAAAAGACAGACTTAGGTGGTTTAGAGAAGCGGCAGGGTTGTAAGTTGAGGAAACAATTATTAAGAAATACAGGCCAAAGAAATCATGTTAATATTGATATGAGGCTAAAGCGAAGTGATCTTAGAACAAAGTGGAGGAAATAAATTAACATGGCAGGCCCCACTTAATGTAAAAGATCAAGATGATGATGTCTAATCTAGACTTTAAATAAGTAGTTTCATTAAAAAAATATTACAGTTTCATCTATAATATTTAAATAATTGTTTTATTACTTAATTTGTAAGTACGCTGTCGCATAGTGAAGCCTTTTAAATAAACATGAATAATTCCACTTAATAAAATTGACATCCTCTATCAAGTTTTAGATATTTTTAACCTTTCATTGTCACAAAAAGTATTTATTAACATAAAATAGTCGAATTAAAATAGCTACATTAAATTTATATTATTTAAAATGATGCTAATTAACTGTGAAAACCACATTGAATAACAACATTATTCTTTTTGTACTTTACGTGTGTAATATCTTTAATATGTATATTTGGATTTTCCTGGACTCATTTTGCAAAGTTGTTGATTGCGTTGATACCTACATAATTAATTCATTTGCAAATACACATTTTATAAAAATATGATTTACTCAATTAAATAATTTTTATTGCATTGTAAAATCTATACTTTTGAAACAAAAAATAAGATATAATTAACATCAAATACTAGATTTTGAAAAGAAATTGTTGCGATAATTAAGTGGTACATTTGAAGAAGCATATAATTAAAACCCTATTAATATCACATTATAGAAAAATAATTATAAATACGTCTAGTTAGTGTTGCAAAATATATTCCAATTGTTCATTGTACATTGCTATTAAACAGCTTTTACTTTATTTTCATAATTTTTTTGTGCCTATATTTAACAGAAAACATTTTTTTTTATTGTTTATCAAGTTCAATGTTTTTTAGTGGTAAATAACATTATAGTTGTATGTTACACTTTAAAGAGGAAATATATGTATTTAAATATCACATTATTCCAATAATTTATTTCTTGGATTATTTAATAAATATCACTAAATTTAGTTTTAAAGGTAACACGAAATTGATCCGAAATAAATATTCACGACTTGTAATCAAAATCGCCATGAAACTATAATATTTCATCTACTATTTTATTTACTTGAAGTATTTAATTATTACATTAAATATTAAATATCAATGAAGATTGCTACGAAAAATGCTGAAACAACTGTTATTAGTATCCTCTTATCATAATAGTTATTTATGTATCAAGGGTGTAAAACAGGCGTTTATGGACCGCAACGTGTAAGTAAGAG